GCAGTTTTTATATTTAAACCCAACTTATTGCAAATCCATTGGATTGATTTATGATAATCTAGTTATTTTGATTTTGAAATCAATGTATTTATTCTGAAATCTACTTTATTTGATTTTAAAATCAATGAATTTAACAAAAATTCTAAATCCAAGAAAGAATCATAAATTCATTAAAATACTACAACTAATAACCCCTACTAAGATTATTATTACATGTAGGACCCACTATCACCTAAGCCAAACCAATAATCAATTCGTAACTGAAAAGAACCGCTTAACAACTTAAACAGGTTAGGTAATTAAACCAAAATACCGGTTTGAAACGGTTTAAACGCGGGAGAGAGAGAGTGAATTTGAAACAAGCAAGCCCACATTTAATGAAAGTTTTTTTTGATAAACCTATCAGATGGTCGGCTCCGAGAAGAACGTACTTAGTACTATAGAATAGACTAACCCGAAAATATACCACAGTGTCTGATTCAAATTTAGAATATCATCCGACTAATATCAGGAAGTGAACCGATTATCTGTTACGGCCGAAATTTAAACTTAGACTGAATAAGTATTGATAATTTAGTTCTCATAGACCTTTAATAAAAAAATTTCCTTTCTTGTAGTTGTTGTTTTTGATGTGTAAGTGTTCTAATGATTTCTATATGAATTTCTTCAAAAAAATTAACGATATTATTATCTGATACTTATTGTTGTTTGTATTCACTAAGTAAATTCTATCATCTGTACCAGATAATTTTGCAGTTGTTAAATCACTATATTTTAAAAAATATAATGGTTTCTGAATTTATCCCTTTTTTTTTGAAACACTTTTTTTTTGAAACACCATATATGAAAATTATATGAAAATTTGAAAATTTATCCATATATGAAAATTTGTATAGATGATCATTTCATTTATCAAAAAAAATATCATCGAACGTGAAGACCATAATTTTTTGAGACAAATTACTTCGTTGATATTTCTGGTTTAGAAAGCACATAATTCGTTTCTTCAGTCGTTTGAATGAATTTCTTTGATACTTTGAATTTGAAACAATCATTTCCGCTGACTTCCTAAACCAATGATCAATTCGTGATTGAAAAGAACCACTTAACAACTTAAAGTCTCAAACCGGGTTAGTTATGACCAATAAATTAAACCGAAATACCGGTTTGAAACGGTTTAAACGCGGGAGAGAGAGAGAGAGTGTGTGAATTTGAATCGATCACAAAGCTACTTTTCCCTCCTTGTACAGAGCACGCTTCACATGGCGTCTTCATCGTCCTCGCGGTCGCTAGTTTCTTCCTATACCTTCGATGATAAAGATCTAGAAGACGCCGATCTATGGGCGGTTATCGACTCCGCCGCCGCTGCTTTTCTCCAGACTACTACCACCTCCTCCTCCGTCGTCGGGAAATCTCCGAAACCTCTCGCTGTTACGTATCCAAACTTCAATTCACCTCCAACGCATGTCTCTAACGCTCCTCCACCGTCTAAGCTTCTTCACGTCACTGATAAGAGGTCACACGATGAGTCACCGCGTCCGAACAAAATCGCCAGATCTCGCGTGAACAGTGACAGTAGTCCGATGGCTCTCGTTACGACGTCGCATCGGAGTTCGAATCCGATTAACAATTCGAAGAAGGAGAGTTACTATTCGCCTGGGATCAAACAGTCAACGACCTTATCGGAGTCCCCGCGATCGAATAATACGGCTAGATCTCGCGGCGTATTGAGTGAGGTTAACAGTGAGAGTAGTCCGATGGCTCTTGTTACGACGGCGAACAGAAATTTAACTCCGGTTAACCACTTTTATTCGCCGGAGAGTTACTTGTCGCCTGGGATCAGGAAGAGTACGACGGACTTATTATCGGAGGTTTCTCCACCGTCGAGCTGCGTTAAGAACGATCCGGTGAATGAGATGAGGCATTGTTTGTCAGGGAGCTTTCCTTCTGCTACTTTGTTTAAGGAGTATCAGAACACAGCTATGGCGGTATTGCGATTTGATCTATCCTTTCATAGTGTTATGTTGATTGCGAGATAAGAGTTTGTGTGCATTGAAGGTGTTTGATGAAATGTCAAGCCGTTGTTTTGCATGATTTTATTTAGTCACTACTCTTTATGTGCGTGTGAGATGTTTGTTGTTAACAACTAAAGCTGTGATTTGGTATAAGTAACAGCATGACTTCATTTAATTTTACAGATATTAGAGAAATCTGATTACACGATGATATCAGGGAAAGCGTACATTAAGAAGTCAGGTGAAGATTGTGCTTTATTTTGTTGTTAATCTAAACATTTGGTAATGGTTTTGGTGCTGCGGTTTATTAATGGAATGTGAAGGTTGGAGGAAGATATCGTTTTACTTCAATGTGTCTTACGAAATAAGGGACAAGAACATTGAGTTTGATGAAAATAGAAACGTGCAGCGTGCTGAGTTCATCGTCCGAGCTATAATGCAGTAATGTTCTTCTTACTTGTAGGTGGTTTTAGAAGATAGTGTGCAGAGAGTAATTGTTGTTTTAAACTTTGGGTTTATGGGTTTTTTCAGTGGAGGAAGATTTGCTGATGGATGGGGTTCTTGTGAGCGACGTGAGAAGAAGTTTCTCAAGCCAAATCATGATATTCCCAGTACAGCAGAGACCAGAGCCAAAAACAGAGCTTGCCAGGTATTCTTCTTTTTCTAATGCTCCAGGGTATGTGTGTTGAACGTAGAACATCGATATGACAAATGAGTGTAACAAAAAAGCTTAGAGAGAATAAAGTACCTTAACATATAGAGGTTTATGCCTAAAGATTTTGCATATATGAAAGGAATTGTTGAACACACTGATATCTTGCTCTTTACCATCAAACTGAATGCTCATCACTTAAACATGGTCTAGCACAATGTTTGATTCCAATATCAAATACATTTTGGGTCTAAGGAATTACAGCACATGAACTTCGATGGAACTTAGATTTACGAGTTCAAAGTTATATACACTCATATTTGTACGTTCTTAGATTCAGTGTTCATTGTGTTATGTTCTTCCTAATGCACTAAGAAGCTCTTTTCTTCATGTAGGATCTTCTAGGAATCGGTGAATATCGAGAAAGCCCAACTGGGTTTCCACGATGATCAGACATTATCAAATGTGTTTCCCGACTTCATCAGCACCAAGCTAAACAATCAAAACAACATTGATAAGGTATGCCTCTTCATTGGTTTTTGTGGATTTGAGTCTTGACACCGCCACAGGAAGAAAACGAATGAAATTTGGTTGTAATGGATTATGATTTGTGTCAGTATTTTACATCTAAATCAATAAAAAACATATATAAATATTCTAAAACGGCCTAGTGTAAGACATCTTCAGCCTTTCTTTGATAACTAAAACGCCCCAAACAACATATGAACCAGGTTTGCAAATTATATGAAGAAATTCTTTGGTTACCCACGTAGTGATAATAATTTCGACATTCTCAAAGTATAATTTTAATAAATGCAATTGATAAGAAATTTAAAAGCCGTATATGAAGAGGGAATTAATATTCAGATTTTCAATTCATTTTAAAATGATTTTTTTCTTGTGGCACAGAAAGTTGCATCCATCAATGAAAATACAATAGGTGTACAAGTACCAAGTATATGATAGTGTAGGACCTAAATGATTATGCTTTCAAATTCCCTGACGAAGAGGAAACAATACTAACCATGAAGCGTGCAGGCTTGTTATAAATGCTCTCTACTTGAACTGTTGTTGATGAGACTAATGTTTTTCATACGGCTTTCTTCTTCTTCTCTTGTCTCACTCCATAATCAATTTTGATTTATCATTCACACATTACCTTTTTGTTCCGTCGACAGAACTTCAAATTTAATTAAGCAAAATAAACTCTTAATAAATAGAGTTTAAATAATAATTTCAGAACTTGCCAAAGAAAAACTATTAACAACTCTTCGAGAAACTTAGAGAGTTCTGAAGAACTATTTCGGTTTGCTTTGTGGAATGTAACATCAAGTTTCCCTCATTGAGTCATAACATACCTGTCAGATTGGTTTAAACCTGACCAAATTGTATCCATGCCAGTTTATTGAGTTACATATTTTAGAAATGTAAAGAAGAGTAATGAAAACAAACAAAATGGATTCGAATTAACACTAAGAGTGTAAAAAATTTGATTCGAACTAACACTAAGGTTAGAAGCGGTAAAAAAATTAGTCCCTAAAATAGTATTTAATGAGGTTTAAACTCGTGACAAATGTAACAGATTATTTTACCACTGAACCAACAATGATTCTTGTCAAATTAGCTCTTAAATGATTTATAAATGTATTGGTCCTAGGCATATGCTTGACCAGATTATGGTCAGACACGGCCCTAACTAAGAGTGTAAAATCATTCAATCATGGCATTGCCAAAACTCAAATATCTAAATTACATGCTCCCCCTTAGACATGTTGTATTATCTTAACCGAAACTAAATTGATGTATCACAATATCTTGTTTGGTTTATTTTGGTTTTGGTCCCATTACTACAAAATATGAAAATACTTGGTGCTAAGAGACAGCTGCTCATATGTATTAACTCTTTGACGTTGCCACTTTAAATCCCATCTCTTATTTATACGTACTCTTCTTGTTCACCATAACATTCATCTCATCATCTTTCTTCAAACAAACAAAAACACATATCCACAAAACAATTCGTATACAAAGAATGCGTGATACAACATGTCTCGAGCGTCTCAGCCTGGCTTTGAGAACCGCTTTAGCTTGTCTCATCGTGAGCTTAACCACTTTATACGGTCCCAAACCACTAAAAAACTTGGCAACGTTTCCAGCCTTTTCTTACCTAACCACAATCTTAATCTGGCTATCCGACGCTGAACCAACATACGGTGAAGTACTCAAATGCTGTGTTGACGTCTCTTACGCAACTTTTCAAACATCAGCCATTGTGCTAGTAAGTGTCTTGGTGGTTGGACCTGCCTCTCTAGGAATTAGCTTGGTGGCTCCAGTAGCTGTGGCTGTAGCGTCATTCATCGTGGCTTTCCCTGCGTCCACGAGTCTTTTGACTAAACGAATTGCCTTTGGGCAGATCGTTGTTGTCTATGTAACCTTTGTTGTGTTCAATGGAGAGGTTGCTCATGTTTTCATGCTCCCCGTTCATGTGGCGGCTAGTACAGCACTTGGAGCCATTGCTTCTCTACTCGCCGTGCTTCTCCCGTTTCCAAGACTGGCTCATAGTCAGGTGAGTCTTGCTATATTTTGTTTTTTTTTTTTACTTCTTTATCATGAACGGTAACAGAAAACTTACCTCGGGGTTTAACTTGTTTACAGATGACTAAGGGTTGTAAATTATACGCTGAAAATGCTCTTGAGAGGTTGAATTTGTTCGTTGAGGTCATGATGGCTAGAGACAACACCACAGCTCAGGTGTTGATCACAAAGGCCGCGTCATTGTCTGCAGCAGCTAGACACACACTTAAAAGCATCAAAATTCACCATGTAAGCCAACCCACTTAAGAATATGACAATCTGTTGAGAAAATCTCTTAAAGAGACTTTTTCACTTAATTTTATATTTAACACAAAAATAATATTCAAAAATTAAAAAAAAAACATCAAAATAGAATTTATTAATCAATAAAAACACTAAATTAGCATACAATCATAAATTGTAACCCTAATCTCACCACTCAATTAATACGAATCACTAAACTATAAATTTAAATATATAGATATATTTATATTTACTTTTATTAAATGTTATTTTGAAAACTTTTTAATGTGTTATTTCTTTTTTTTTAAATCAACTTAATACTATTTGAGGTATTTCTCTTATCATTTTGTATTAGATATGTTCATCGGTTGCTGACAAAAATAAAATTTGGTAACAGGAACGTCTTGCATGGGAGAGACCAGATACAAGATTCTTGAGAAAGAAGCAAAAACATCAAGGGGAGAAACTACAAGCCACAGAGTTTCTCATGAGAGGGATGGAGATAGCGTTGGGATCTCGCAGTTCTTTTCCTCTAGACATGAGCCGTGATGAACTAACACATCTTCTAGAAGCTCCCAGAGCACATATCGCTTCTGAGTCAGCACCTACTCTCAAGCCAGAGGACAAGCTAAAATGGTGTCCTGAACCTGATTCTCTTTCTCCTGCAGCTTTACCAGTTTGCTTCTTCAAATACTGTGTGGAACTCTTCAGAGGTGATGTCTCATCTTTGAGACAAGACAGTACACGTGTGGAACAAGAAAGGTTGTCCACGACCAAAAGGGTTTTGGAGTTTCTCAGTGTCTGGATGGCTAAAGAGAGATTTGTTTTTGCATTCAAATGCTCAATCTCTCTAGGCCTTGCTGTGCTGTTTGGTATACTTAACAACAAAAAAAACGGGTACTGGTCGGGTCTTACCGTAGCTATTAGTCTTGTATCCGGAAGGCAAGCAACATTAACAGTAGCGAACTCTCGTCTACAAGGAACAGCCATGGGATCAGTCTATGGTTTGTTATGTTGCGCTGTTTTCCAGAGACTAGAGGAGTTCAGGTTCTTACCTCTTCTCCCTTGGATAGCCATCACCGTCTTCATGAGACACAGTAAAGTCTATGGCCAGCCTGGAGGAGTTACAGCTTCCATTGCAGCGCTTTTGATACTAGGAAGGAGAAACTATGGAGCTCCCACTGATTTTGCGATCACTAGAATTGTTGAAGCTTCAATAGGTTTGCTCTGTTTTGTCTTTGGGGAGGTTCTTGTCACTCCTGCGAGAGCATCGAGTCTTGCAAGAGCTGAACTCTCACACTGTCTTGATGCGCTTGTGGATTGTGTGGGATCATTGGTTCTTTGCTCTGAGCAAAAGAACATGCCATTGTCTGATTTGAGAAGGAAGCAGGAGAAACTCAGCTCTCACGTTGAAGCATTGGAGAGGTTAACATCAGAAGCCTTGACAGAGCCTAATATTCCATTCCTCAAACCTCTCAACGCGGTTAGTTACAAGAAGGTTTTGGTTTCTTTCTCGAAGGTTTCTGATCTTTGTCTCTATGTTTGTGATGGTCTCACAAACCTATCTGGAGCTTACCCTTGGGAAAACATCACTCATGACTTGAAATTCTTCCAAGAAAAGCTCCACTCTTCGGTGAAATGCTTAGAAGAGATCACATCGACCAAGACTCAAGCAAGACTACAAAAACAGAAGAGAAAGATATGCCATGATGTTGAAGCAGGAACAGCATCAAATGACAACAATTCAAATATGGAGTTGGGTCCAAGCCAAGATGATGCAGAGAGGTTTTCAGTTTCTTTTGTAAAACTACTGAAGGAAGAAACAGAGAAGACAAGTGTTAACACAGCTGAAGAGGTGGTGAAGAATGAAACTACTCTATGTTTGAGCAGTCTAGGTTTTTGCATCAGCAGATTGATGCAAGAAACAATATGTATTATGACAGAAGTAACCCATACAACTTGATTCTCTTCATTACGTTTTGTAACTATAGCATCATGTAAGATAAGATCAGGTGTTTTGAATGTACAAAATCAATGTAAGCCCGAGAGATTTATAGCAAAAAGAGGTACATTATAATGAATGGTGGAAACTGCAGATAATATTTATTGCACAAATTAAGAAACAAGCAGAGTTCTTTACAATTGAATTGAGGATTGTGTTTTTAGTTGACTTTGTTCCCGGGACGTGAACAAAAAAAAAGCATCATCATTCGTCGCGAGTAAATACACTCTCGACTTTAAGAGCTAAAACCAAGAAAGAGAGGAGTGAAACACAGACCATAACAAGCATCACTATGACCATTGCTTGCAATGATATATATGGGCTTAGGAAGAACACAACCGCTATCGATGCGCTTTGCCATACTTTTAGCTGTGCAAAGGCTCCTTCCTGTTTACCATAAGTCAAAGAAAAGTATTGTTTCTTTTCATGTATATGTTTCAGTGAATAAAAATAATAATAAGGTCAAGGGTTTGGTGACATTTACTGTGTCATGTTTGAAGAGTAACGCGAGAAGAGCACTGATTTGAGTGTTTAATATTCCATCACCGATTCCTAATACAGCCGCCATTATAAGTGGGTAAACTGTGCCTAGTACTCCACTAGTTGTCCTGCAACATAATCAAATATCACACCATAGCTGAGTTCCTAGGATTCAAATAAGTCTTCTCAGAAAAAGAAACCGTTTCTAACAGAATTTCACATACATAAGCAAAGTGAATACTCATGTTGCAGAACAGTTACACAAGGTTTGCTTGATCAGTTCCCAATGTACTAGTTTTACCAAATTCTACAGGGAAACCATTTCAAAGTGAAAACAAGAGGAGAAGAAGTAACAAACCTGTAACCAAGAAGAAGCCAGAGAAATACAGAAGCTTGAGCAACAGCTCCACCAGTAACTATGAAGGTGATTGATGACAGACCAGAGGTAAACCGTCCAGCGGTTATTGAACACTAAAATGGTTTTCAATAAGAAAAAAAAGGATTAACCTCACAAAACCCACGCCAATAAGGTAAAAACAGGGTGACTATTGGCTCTTAAACTTACAACTGCGTCAAGAGCTCCATAGACAGCCATTGCCCCACCAACACCTGAGACACCAATCGCAGGTGTAATGATTTCCTTTGTAAACTCAGCCCTTCAAACAGGAAGACAACTTTTAAAAACAAAGAATTATATACATATCATATGAAAAAGTATTACTTCATTGGTGCAATTCTTATGACAAGACATGGAAGACATACCAAACAAATGCTTGTTGTAGTCCTGAGTATGCAAGAAGTGGGACAATCAGTAACATCCTTACGTCGAGCAAAGGAGTGATGATCATCCTTGGAAGAGAAACCAATGAATCAACTAAGCCCATAGAAGAACCCACAGGTTCTTTTTCATCTTCTCCGTCTAATTTTCTAATGAAGAACATTAGTATTGTTCCTAATGTCATAATGAGGAGGAAGACCAACAACAATAAGGTTGTGCCACTGGTGCTTCCTTCCTACAGTCACTCAACAAGAAGAAAACAATGGTGGAGCTACCCAAGTAGACGGGGAAATTTTATAATCATCATCACTGAGAATGTGGTAGCATAGTCAGCTATTCAATACTTCTACTTAATATATTAAGGATGTGAAAGAAATTAAACCTATGTCAACAAAAAGAAAAGTCATAATGAATATGATACTTGAAACTCTTAACACATGCTAATAAGAGTTATCAACCCCAAAGTATACCTTTCCATCTTTCAGCAGTGTAAGTGTAATGAGATTCCCAAACAGCTGCAAAAAAATTTATGCAAAATGTGTCAGAAATTTAGAATAAATGCATACAAGATTCTGAGGTAAGCAGAAAAGGAAGAGCAATAAGAATGTATAATGAAACAAGTATGCACCTGGTGGCAGGCAAAAATAGCCCAAAACTCCCCATTGAAGACACCAATGATTGATCCTTCATGCACAGCATGATCTTTAGCATGACTTCTCGCAATCGATGTAAGGTATGTTCCCTAATGCAGTTAAGACAATTTGAGTTAAGGTTTTTATAAAAACTACACTATCCGCAAGATTAATAATAAGTAAAACGTAGTTTGCACCTGGCCAACCCATATAATGGAAGCTGCAAATCCAAGGTACAAAGAGGCTGGAACCATAGTGATCCTGAAGAAGTGTTCAAGTGACTTAAAGATCAAAAATGGAGCAACATAAAGTCATGAAGACAAGAGAGGAAGTAAGGAATACCATGATGGCTTCAGATTAGCGGCAACGAAGAGCCAATACCCTGAAGTTCCTAAAATAAGAGCATTCTTTGATCCCATTAAACGAACAACCAAAGAAGCAACCATGGAGCAGAACATGAAGGAGACATACAATATCCCTAGAGAGATTGTTCCCAAATCCTGAAAAGATTAAAACTAACTCAAATGAATATCACCACATACACACACAAAACTAAGACAAGTCCATCTTTAGTCTCAACTCAGGAAATTATCACCACATAGACACATAAAAAAACACAATGTAACCCACAGAACTAAGAAAATTCCGACAAAGATCTCAAATTGTAATAAAAGTATAATATCCGTTAGAAACTCAAAGCTTGTAACTTTTTCAGCTGATTTCACAGAAAGTGAGGCAAAACACACTGTAAACACATAACTATCACCACATAAACACATAAAAAAACACACTGTAACCCACAGAACTAAGAAAATTCCGACAAAGATCTCAAATTGTAATAAAAATATAACATCTACCACAAACTCAAAGCTTGTAACTTTTTCAGCTGATTTCACAGAAAGTGAAGCAAAGATTCCAACTTTGACGAAAAGGGCAAAAATTAAGATGAAGGGCAACCTTATTAATAGTGGTTTCAAGGTTCTGAGCAGCACCAAAAGCGAGAAAGATCAACAAAAAGGAGATACTGAGGATATGAACATCTCTTGTATAACTCTTCCCACCTCTTACTTTCCGATCCTCACCAGAGACAAACACCAACGGCGCCTCCTCATCGTTTCGAGAATCCATCGGTCCGATCACCTTCGCCGATTATGGCTTAGAGAAAGATGACCAGTGAAAGTCAAACCATGTGAGGAAGAGAGAGAGAGAGAGAGAGAGTGACAAGCAAAGATTGGAAGAAATTAAAAATATCTGGTAATTATTCGGTACAATTCGGTTATTTATGGTTTATTATGTTCCGGTATTGTTTAATTTGATCGGTTTATTTTAAATTTGAGAATAGTGTTAGTTGGGCTGGGACCCAACAGTCTAACAACTATTTTCTGTTTGCTTCCCGCGAAAACAATTAACAGTTCTTCTTGTATCTGTTAAGGCCCATTAAATATCCATTTAACTCGTGAGGGTATTAATAGTAAATGGGCTATATTCGGCCCACTAAGGAGACTCGAGGGTTTTTCTTACCTCTTTAAAAAGAGGCTTTATTTATAAACCACCTTCCTCCTCTAGGGTTTCTGATATTTTCATAGTAGCGGCGCAGCAGGTGAACACGATTGAAGCTTACGATGGGTATATGGTCGTATGAATGTTTTTTGTTATTCAGATTCGTTGGAGGATTACATTTGATTTCATTTGTGTTGTGTTGTGTGTGTTGTAGCAAGGATTAAGGTTCATGAATTGAGAGACAAGTCGAAGAGCGATCTTCAGAATCAGCTTCAGGATCTTAAAGCTGAGCTCGCTCTCCTCCGTGTCGCTAAAGTCACTGGTGGTGCTCCCAACAAGCTCTCCAAAATGTACTTACACTACATACCTTAACTTCATAACCTTTATATATTTTTTTTATTTTAGGTTAATCATGTTTCAGTTTAGAATCTGAAATGAATCAAATGCTATTGATTTAGATAGTGTAGGATATGGAATTATATATAGTGATGGTTGCGTATTCGTGTCTTATAACATTTTGTGTTGGGATGTGTCTTTGTTTAATCTGTTACTGTTTTGTGTTTTGTCATAAACAGCAAGGTTGTCCGCAAATTCTTAATCTCAGAAACTTTATATATATATTTAGCTTAATCAAGTTTCAGTTTTGAATCTGAAATGAATAAAAAACTATTTACTTTATTTATGTTGCCATAACCTTTGCCCTAGTGATTCAGATAGTGTAGGATATGAAATTATATAGAGTGATGGTTGTTTGTTCGTATATTTTAACACTTTGTGTTGGGATATGTCTCTGTTTAATCTGTTACTCTTTTGTGTGTTTTGTAATGAACAGCAAGGTTGTCCGCAAATCCATCGCTCAGGTTTTGACAGTGACATCTCAGAAGCAGAAGTCTGCTCTCAGAGAGGCGTACAAGAACAAGAAGTTCATTCCTCTTGATCTCCGTCCCAAGAAGACCCGTGCTATCCGTAGGCGTCTCACCAAACATCAGGTATGTCTTTGTTTTTGTTTGTTTGTTGTCTGTGATTGATCATTATTGCCAATACTGTTGTGTTCTCATGGCTTTTGTTTTGTTTTTCTTTGCTTGTGCAGCTCTCTTTGAAGACGGAGCGTGAGAAGAAGAAGGAAATGTATTTCCCAATCAGGAAGTACGCTATCAAAGTTTAAGTCTAGCTACTAGAAACTCTGTTTCAGCTTTTGTTCTGTTTGATGGAAACTTGTTTTTGTTCTTCACTTGTTCTATTGTGACAAAACATTTTCAGCAACATGGATTTTGTTTCCTATTGATGTTTTGCATTTTATTTTTCAATTCTCTTAATACTCACCAGAAAAAAATACCCACCTAGCTCTAAGTTAAAGTTAACCAGCTCAAATTGACGCTACAGAATAGCTGTTCGTTTTTCTGTATAATACATAGTTATATGAGTGGAAGCAATAGTATAATGAGGTTAGAAAGCTGTCTTAACCGTATAGAGTTATGCTTTGAATGCGGATGCTCCTACTGCTAGTAACAAGACGAACTCGGAAGTTGAAATCATGATACACCTTGTCTACCGGACAACTTTCTTGTTTGTATTTGCGTAACAAAAGAGATAAAAAAAAAGAAGTTACGACCACAGTGGGAGTCGAACCCACGACCTTTTGATCCGAAGTCAAACGCGCTAATCCACTGCGCTATGCGGTCTGAATGTTATGTCGAACTTTTACTAAACATTGTGTATTGAACAGTTCTTACCGTGTTGCTGATGTTACCAGGCGAAACCATATAGAAGTAGAAGCAAATGCCGTCACTTGTTTTATTTCCAAAAAAAATGTGAACAGTGCCACTGGAATGACAAATTAGGGATTAGAGCTTTAACATTTGTCTATTTTAGTGAAATGGATTCCATGAAGTTTAACTGAAAAAGATATAGTATATACTTATCATTAACATTTAAATGACATCGAATATTATTTGGAAAACGAAGCTATATCTGGTATATGGTGATATATAATTATTCACACCTACAACTCCGTGTGGATTTGTTTTATCATTATAGGTTTTGTACACAGATTGATCAACGTCTAAGCAGTGAAGGCGTACATGTATTTCTTTCACATATATATTTTTTCTAGTCAAAACACAAAACCAAATTAAAAACGAATGAAGATTAAATGCCAGAAAATAGAGAAAAAAACAGACTTGTGAAGTTCAACTAGTATGTCACACACATTCATAGAAAATCTAAAACCGGATAAAATTTCCCCATATATTTTTGAATAGTCTGGATATAAAGTCAATTGCATTATAAACTAATGCATGATGTTACTGAAAGCCTAATTGCTCTTTTAATTGGAATGTCATTTTTAATGCATCCTTTTTAATAATTGCTTTGTTCCCTTTTTTCAAACGGGCGTACTTTGTCATGAGTCGCGGCTTGTGACTCCTGAGTTTGCGTGTATGGACTGATCATCGAAGAGAAGAAAATTATGTAAAAGAATTGATAGCAACAACTATATTAACTCTTACAAAAATAAAACAACTATATTAACCTCGGAATAACGAAACTTAGCTAAACAAAATATGAGGTCAGTATTAAAACATGTATGTCTGTGAATGTACGTGATGGTTTATGGCAATAAATCGCGTTCCTAATCTCTTGAAGTCTTAATAGTAACATGTAGAACTACATATATAGAGAAATTTTCATTACTATAACTGCGTGCACAGAAACTGTAAACGTTTATATTCCAAGTAAGCTTGTAATTAAGACGAATTTCCGCGGGTTTACATGAAAACCAAACATGAAATTTTGTGTTCTCTGTGTACATATATATTATTCAAATACACTAAACTTCCTCGTTTTTCCTAAGAATCATTGGCATAAATATAAAATGTTGACTTGACACGTTTCTATCGTACGAAATGAACTGGCATTAGATGGTTTTAGTTACGTACGGTGAAAGTATCATGGTGGCTAGCTAGACCGTAAATGTGGATATATATATATATGTTTAATTCAACCACAAATAGATTCTAAATAGGAATAGTACTGTATTAAGGTTGTCGTTATTCGAGTTCAAATTTGACGACTAATAACAATAATAAGTCTTGAGGGAAAAAATATATATGTCAGCAGTTATCCATCGCTATTTGATCTTATCACACGCCTTCGACCTCCCAAATGTCTAAAGTTGAATCTGGCTATTGATGGAAGAAGAATGTAAAAATAACTTCAAGATCATTTTCAAAATCGAATGACTCTGCATATAGGCTATAGTGTTGTTCGTTTGGTTGCGGCAACTTTCTGATGTATAGGCTTACATAATTCAATATCTATAACACATCGTTGAAAACTTGAAATACCAAAAAGCTATGTATAACATAGTGAACACGTGGTTGAAAAAATATAATTAGTTTTGACTGTCCACGAGAAGAAAATAACCACAGGTTAACAATAAATTCGAATGAATCTGCATATATCTTATTCAACGCATGAGCTGTGTATAACAATATTTGTTGTCCACAGACAAAGAAACAATGTATATAACAACATGAAAAACACAGATATCAAGTTAACACGTGGTTGTAAGAACATCTAATTTCGTTAGTCTTGGGTCTCTCATCGAAGATTTTTTTTTATCAATTTTATTATTTAACCCTACGTACGTATAAATGACGACCTATATATTGTCAATATATATGTATATTTACTCAAACCGTTTTAGATTTGAGGCAATTTTCGACATGATCGCGACACATCCATTGACATTTTGTTTTAATCATTTTACTTTCCGGTTTAAGAACATACAGTATATATTTGTGTGAAACAGATTATCTTAGGACCAGACAAGTAACGTAAATTCAAGGTTGTAATTGACGGTTAGCTCATGGGTCAAGATCAAGGTCAAGCTTCCACTATACGATTCAATAATACACTCTCAGTGATTTCAAAAGTTTGGGGGGGAAGATACATCAAAGCCCACTACACGTGTAGGCCCAGAGTAAATCAAATCGGAAAAAGTCAAAAGTCAACAACATTATTCGTCCCTTCTGCACCACAAGTTAAAACGTCGTCGTTCCAACGTTGTTGTCTCCTATAAATACCTCTCAACGACTTCATCCTTTTCCCTCATAACTACAATCACAACTTGCATTATCATTTTAGTTCCAACGATGAGAAACTTATGCTGCGTAGCCAAAACGTCGTCGAATCATCAACCTCCTCTGACGTTAACTCCTCGCCAAAGCCTAGAATCTGCGGCTGTCTACGGAGTCATCGAATCTGCAGCTGACATAATCGAGAGATGGAACACAGAGACTTCCACTTACGCCAAAGTCACTTCCATGTTCCACGAGAACAAACAAGAAGCCAAGTTGTTCATCGAACGAGTCAAAGATCTTCAGAACACAATGGCTCTTCTTGTCAGCGAAGACGCAAACTCAGAGAGACTCGTGAGAGCTCAGAGACTGATGCAAATCGCTATGACGAGACTTCAAAAAGAGTTTTACCAAATCTTATCAATGAACCGTGCTTACCTCGATCCAGAGTCAGTCTCTACACGATCTTCACTCACTTCAGAGAGATCCAGCTACTCAGATTTTCTTGACGATGATTCACAGGCCACTGGTGATTCAATCGTTGAAGTGGAAGAGGCTTCAAGTAACGTCACGACGGAGTTAAGATCAATCGCTGAGTGTATGATCGTTTCCGGCTACGCGAAGGAGTGTATAAGCATTTATAAAAGCATCAGAAAGTCTATCATCGACGAAGGTGTGTACCGTCTCGAAGTGGAGAAGATTAGTACGGTGAAAGCGAAGAGAATGTCTTGGGAAGAAGTTGAGTTAAAGATCAGAAGCTGGTTAGAAGCGGTGAAAGTCTCAATGGAGACACTCTTTAAAGGAGAGAAGATTCTTTGTGATCACGTCTTTGAAACCTCTGAATCAATCAGAGAGTCTTGCTTTAGTGGGATATCTAGAGAAGGTGCTCTTCTTCTCTTTACCTTCCCGGAGATCATTGCTTCCAGAACAAGAAAGAAGAATCCTCCACTTGAGATTATTTTCCGGCTTCTCGACATGTACACCTCCGTGGCTGGAAACTGGCGAGCTATTGAGTCAATCTTCTCCTTTGAGTCTACCTCCGTTGTGAGATCTCAAGCACTCAAGTCTCTCGTCTCACTCAGCGAGTGTATTCGATCACTGCTTCTTGATTTCGAAGCAAGAATCCATAAAGATTCTTCCAAGGAGGTGGTTCACGGCGGAGGAGTACATCCTCTGACTCTCTCCGTCGTGGACCACATCTCTCTCCTTGCAGACTATAGTAATGTACTTGTCGATATCCTTGCCGGATCTCCTCCACCGGACAGATCGTTGATCCCGGAGTCTTACTTCAACGTCTCTGATGAATCACCGTCGTCGGAGCTAGCCATAAGATTCGCGTGGCTTATCTTAGTCCTTCTCTGTAAAATCGACCGTAAAGGGAATTACTACAATGACTGCTCCGTGCAGTATCTTTTCCTAACGAACAATCTCCATCACGTGGTGTCACGTGTTCGTTCCTCGAACCTAAAGCAGCTTCTCGGTGACGACTGGGTCAAGAGGCATGTTGGTAAGATTAAGCAATTCTCTGATAGCTACAAGAGGCTCGCGTGGGGACCAGTGTTGACGACATTACCAGAGAATCGTGCGATTGAGATGTCTGCTGAGGAAGTGAAGGACCGGTTTGAAAAATTCAGCGAGGGGTTCGAGAGGGTGTATGGTAAGCAAGGTGCATGCTTCGTACCGGATGTAGAGCTAAGGGAGGAGATTAAACTGTCGATTGCGAGAAAGCTGGTGCCGATTTATCGAGAGTTTTACAACACAAGAAAGTCTGTTATCTTGGCGGGAGAGGGTAGTGTGAGGAACTTGACTTCGGTTGTCAGATTTACTCCTGAAGATGTTGAAAACCATTTGTCTAATTTGTTCTCAGGAGAGGCTGTTTTGGGGAGTTCATCGGTCTCTTCTCCTTCGTCTTGTCGGTCACGGCAATCAACATCGTGAAGTAATTTTTTGTTGTCTGTAAAAAGGCAAACACTGAATAGTGTTCATGCTTGTACTATTTTTTATTACCTCAAGAGGAAGGAATGGTTGTTGACAATGATAAATCTTGTCCGTACTAATGGCCAATGATGTAATGATTGAGATAGTATTGTATACTCATATTTTAACAAAAAAGAAAAAAAGTATTGTATACTCATAATAATAGTATACCCTTTATTTTATAATTAAAATATAGGGAAAATTTTTGAATTGTTATTCTTTCTTTTTTCTGAAACCATTATGAATTTATTCAACTCTTGCATTGGAATATCTTTATGAAAATGATATTTTTTAACAAAAAGAAAAGAAGAAGATATTTCACTAATATGAAATGGAGAAAACATCGTTGTAGTTAAAATAGACATTTATGTTGGAAGAATCAAATTAGTTTGTTAAATTCCTCTGGAGTTTTATCTCATATCTTTCGTGAAAGAAATATATGTGTCCATGAGGATGACACGTAAAGGGAAAAAATGAGTCAAAGGTGAAGGCTATAATGTGAAATACAAGTATCATGTTGTGTGTTCTTTAAGGATGTGATAGTATTAGAGTCTTTGGTCCATTGCTGGTTTGTGAGGACCGTGAGGTATCGAGAAGACTCAAAGTTAAGTCACATATCATTAATTTGTTGAGACCAGCCATACTTTTATAGAACCAATCAACGAAACGCGACTTGAAAAAGCAGTAGAGCAACAAATTCTGTAGATTCATGAAAAATATACTAAGTACTTAAAACCTGAAGATTCGCATAGCAGAACATTTGAATTGTTAGTCAAAATGTTTTACGAGTTTAACAAAAAAAAGAAGAGTTTAACAAACCAATCCTTGTCAAATTAACCTTATGGTGAAGTCCCTTTCCAATACTAAGTTCCCTTTATTAAAATTGTTTAATGTCTATTTGGTATCAGGTTTTCCATACATTATTTGGTACTGTGGAATGTCATAAGTTTTCTAATCCAATAAAGTTAAAACTGAAGGAAGATCAGATACATTGTAGCAAGCAGTAATTATGCTGTGGATGGAAGTTGATCGGGCGGGAGCTGAAGTTTCTGCCAGCCGGTCGAGTGTTTAATATATTTCTTGAGTTTCTCTGTTGAAGACTCGACGGTCCATCCAGAATAGTGTTGACTCGGAGAGAACACGTGGTGCTCTTTGTCGTGGCTAAGACACGACTTGGCGCCGTTCAAGAACCAATCCCCTTCTGATCTTATAAAACCTGCTTCGGCTTCCTCTTTATCCGCAGCCTAATCACCCAACAGACAAATATATAACGTTGTCACAAACAAATATAGATTTGTCTTTGAACAGCTAAGAACGTGTTCATCAGAAGAGATCATTCATTGGCTACGACCAAGAAGACCATAACAATACTATACTAATACTATCACTTTGGTTCATTATACTATAATCAAATAATCTTTCATAGAAATGATACAACCATGCAAGTAATCTACATGTCCATGCACATACTAAATGGTTTAGCTAATATCTATTTTATCGGATAACACATATATAGATTGAGGTCTAAGACAAGTTAGTATAAACAAAAAAATATACTCTCTTTGTTTCAAAAAGATGCATATTCTAGAAAAAAAACTTGTGTTTTAAAATGATGTATTTTTTAGATTTTCAATGCACATTTTATCAACTAATAATGAAAAATTGTAAATTTTAACATTAATTGCAATTTCTGAAATCTTATTGGTTTAAAAATATGGAAAAATTACAAAAAAATATGCATTAATAATTAAGTTTTAATACTTTTCTTAATAAGTGTGAAAAACTTAAAACATGTATTATACTGAAACTGCTGGAGTATATATTAAGAATAATCTGATGAATCTATAATAGTTTAAGAACCTAAAGAGTACAATATAGACTTACCTTCTCAGTGATGTACTTAAAGACAGTCTTCTTCTCACCAGCTTCATATATGTTGCATTGGGAATATACCTATCAAAATAACATAAAAATGTAATGAAACATATAAAACCAATGATGCCAATATCAAAAAATATGTTTATATATGATTTTCCCCAAAGAACCTGAGCTTCGACGCCGGCTCCGACAGCGTAAATGGACCAGTTACGAGTATAGTTGTTGAAGAGATGGATTTTTGCGAAGCGAACACGAGGGTGTCGCTGACGTGTACCATCGAAGAAGCAGTGATGAATCGTAACTCTTATGCATCGGTCCGTCACGTGACTTGGGTCCGCGCCAATCAACATCGTCTTGTTATGGTTCACGAAATGGCATCTAACCATTTTATTTAAATTAACACAACGAATATAGTTAATTGCTAAATATTAATTAATTATTTTATTTATACGAACCTTGAGACAGTGATGTCAGTGCTTTCTCGTGTGATATCAATCAAACCATCATGGTAATTCTTGAGAGTACAACGATCAATCCAAATGGTGTTTGATTTTGGTTTGATCTGAATAGCGTCTGCGTCTGGTCCTACACCGCCTTCGAATTCAAGGTTACAGATTATAACGTTTTCACTTTGTTTTAGCCTTAACCCTTTCCCTGTTATCTTCACCCTTTGCCCTCTTCCATCCACCGTCTTGTGAGATGATACGTTCACAAATGAGGATAGATTGATCGTTCCCGACACGTCGAACACAATCCATAACGGTTCTGGCCTCTTACAAGCCTCTCGTAACGATCCTGGACCTTCGTCTACAAAAACACATACAGTATTTATTAAACATAAAGTATACTTAGTCAGATTTCTTTAGGAGTTCACCTAATTTTTTTTTTTACGGATTTGGGAGACTAAAGTTTAATTTTTCGGCTTTATCCAACGACGACCCTCTTTAGTTCTGTTAAAGGTCGCCAAAAATCAATATCATAACTTTATGTCACAAACATGTGTGATGCAAGACCGACCTTGAGATTCCTGAGATTTTGGGAGCGATTTAGCAAAAGTTTTAATAAATCATTATTTTTTTACAAATTTAGAATTCATTGGTTTATTTGAATGGCGTCTATTTCAATATAATTTTTTTTTCAAAAAAATTGAGAGTTCTAGGCTAATGTTTCATTACGTCTGGCCTAGTACCGGTCCTGATGTCATGTATATATATACAAGATTCAGATCCAATATAAGTATCAAATCGATTAAAAAATACTACAATATTTTTTTTGGTTAGAGTTATTTAAAAATTATAACTATTTGGTTCTAAATTTAAAATTTATTAACAGAAAGATACAGTAAAAATAACCGAAAAAGGGAACTTACCAGCTAAAGAAGTGACGTGGCAAACCGGACCATTAAGACCACCAACGGCAGCACGACCAAACCCCTCGGCCTTTCCAGCGAGGGAGCGGAGGCTGGAGTCCACGTGGCAATAAGGTTCCACCGTCATGTGGGGAGCGGAAGGTGAAGATGAAGATGGAGATGGTGGGAAAGGGGTGTTGTGGTGATGAGATCTGTGAAGGCCATGTAAGTTTCCCATAGCTTACTTATACTATTAAACACCGAATTTAATTTTGGACAGTTTCAGTTTTTATGTATTTTTGGGATGTTTTTTGGGATATTAATTACTTCTCTTTGTTGCAACTGAAACTCAGAACTGATGTTAACTTTGTTGGAACTGTGGAAGGAGAATCATTCATCTTTTGTCCTCTCCTTTTTTGTTGTTGCCGACAGTAGCTTTTTAAACAAATAAAATATATTTTTGGAATTTATTAGATATTTAATTTTTTAGCATGATGTATGTAGTTCATTTTTAAAGTTTTATTTCTTAAAATACTAAAGCTATTATTTAAAACATTTATAAAGTGCGAACCGGCAAGTAATACCAAATACAATTGTTGGCAAACCGAATAAATCTTCTGCAACCAGCAACATAGGGGGTTAACAAATAAATGAGCTTCACATACCATAAGTTTTGTTTTGTTTCTCTGTAACATACTAGTAAAGTAGTAAGTTAAAAAATCCTTTGGAAAATTCTTCTTGTTTATGAACTCTTTAGAGAAATCTATTTCCTTGCAGAATAAAATTATTGGATTAATTTCGATTCAGCGTATCCCTTGTCTTATACATAACATTGTCACATCTTATATAATTCTTTCCCTACTGTATCAAACTCCTACATGAGACGGTACACAGTAGACACAAGTTCCAGCTCTTTCTTGTGTATAAAGTCACAGAAAAGGCTTACAAAAAGTCTGATCATGGAGTTCCAAATAGCATCCATGTTGGACCCATCTGCAGCTCATTTCTAACTGTTTTCGTCAGTCAACTTCTTCTACTGGTAGTTTCCAGAAGTTCCATGGGTTATAATCTTCCTGTAAATGTGTAAACCAAACAATTGATGAAACCACTAATGAATCTATACATGACATTTTATAATAAAAGGCTGCTTCAAGCTTTAGTTTACCTGCTCAACAAGCGAAGTTGGAGGAAACATGTCGTTGACAAGAGTATGAAGTGATGTGTAAGACTTCTTAATATCTATTCGATGTCCTGTTGCTACCTCTCCCTGATCAATTTTTTTAAAGCACAGATTCTCTAAGTACATTCCAACAAATAATCAATCATGCATGTCAGATTTTACCTTTGGGTTGATTATGAATATCTTTCCCTTGGGGATTCCCAGTTTCCTGTAACTCAGCTCATCAGTGTCTCTATTCCCAAATCCAGCGTAGAACGGGTTGTAATCCTTTGGGAAGAGTTTCCTGATATCCTGCACATTACATTTACAAACTTGTTCTTATCTAATGATATGCCTCTGGTTTTATCCGTTCTCTCTTATGCCCTAGAAAACAAAAAAGATTTTAAAAAATTACCTCCAAACATGCGATTTTGAATTCGTGTGGTGCTCTTCTTATCACTGCAAAGCAGTTATAATGTATATGATAAAATAATAAGAGATCCTTTATTGTTGAATTACAAGTAACGTTAACTTGCTAATAATGAATCTCCAAGGCATTAAAGGTTAACCTTCACGGTACAACGCTGGAAAAAGCCCATCAGGTGAAATGACTACAGGACCGGTCGGCAGAGCTTTTCCGTCCTACAAGCCGGAGAAAAAAAACCATAAGAAACAAAGACATCTCCTAACAAAAGGTTATAGACTGCAGTTCCTTACGTTATTCATAATGATTATGGATTTAAGTGGCAATAGGTAAACAGAATCTCAGTCTTTACCTGCTTTAGATTATTTAAGAAATTTCTTGTTAGATATGCCTGAACAATGGCACGAGCGCTCAGAAACAGCAGCTGGTATCCATTCTCCTGAAAAATTAAAAGAATTTCAACGCATAATGTGAGATTCATAATTACACATTTTGCTCAAGGGAAGAAACAAACACTTGAAATATATTATGTTTTACCAAATTAAAGTGCAAGAAGCGAGACTTGACTAAAACCTTTACAATTACCTTAATGGCTGAAAAAAGCTTAGCCACACCAGACTGTGTCCAGTCCTTTCCAACCAAAGGCATGAACTGACCTAGCACATCAGACCTGTAAAAACACAGCAACAAAAGGATCATCACATTGGCATAAGTCTAGATATTATAATTTATAATACGAAAACAGTTTAGCTTCACTAAGGATTCAAAAGCTGTACTTAGTTATAGTTCCATCAACATCTGAAATTACTATCTTGGTGTCCCATCTCCATCGGTAAATATGTGCATCGACCTAATCAAATAACCAAAGTTAGAATAAGTACAGTAGATTTCAAATAATGTTTACCAACAACTAACCTGTTGTGTTCCAAGAACTCTCGTGGAGAAACTAAACGTTATCATATTCTGACCATCTTTTAAATTCAGAGACGCGATCTGTTCATTGGTAGGGACATTGGTTCTCACAAGTTGTCTACGCGGAGACTCATGACGGCTCTCTGCGGCTGATAGTACCTCCGGTGAGTTCTGTAAGCCAGGTTCAGAATCAACAAACAGATCTTCTTCACTCGAGGAGTTACTACTCGTATGCTCTATTGTTTTAACCCTTCTAAAAGGAATAGGCCAGAGTCTCCATCTTCTTCCAGATGAAGAAGGAGTTACTGCAGCTTCATCATCCTTGGACTTCGTAGATTCATTTTCCTCCACGGATATCACATCATCTGGCTGAATATCTAAGTCTAGATCGAACACAGCTTTTCCAAGCACTATTCGAGCAGCTTTCTTCCATGGCATGTACGTTTCTCTAATCCTAACAACTAGATTTTCACTTTCGAGAATTGATGTTGCAGAAATTTTATATTCTTCCATAGAGATCCGGTGTGTATTGAAGACTTCAGAAGCTGCGATAAGTCCCATGCCTTGACGAAGCTCATCCTTGCAAAGTGATAGCTCATACTCTGTAAAGTTAAACCACCGTTTAAAACTAGACATTGTTCAGACACAAAATGTAAAAGAGTTACTTACTCAGTTCTGTGTCGAGTTTCTCTATGTCCACACTAGAAGTCGTAGCCACTGAATCTACAGTGTTCCTGTTCTCGCTATCCTCCTCAGTTGGTTTAGATGGAGTTAGTTGCTCATCTTCCTCCCTCGTTGAATCTATAGAGACTCTCTCAGAAGCTTCTGACTCTATTATAACCCCACTTTCCTGGTTGTCAATCAAGACGTCAGTTTCTGCAGAAGTTCTTGTCTGTTCATCGTTACATTCTGACTCCGTATTAGCATCAATAGATATCCTGGATTCCTCAGCTATTGTCACTTCTTCTGTTGTTAGTTGGATTGTAGAAGATTCAGAACCATCAACAGGAGTGTTTACTGTTTCAATACCCACTTCATCTTCACCTCTAACATCTTCTGTGATGGTAGTAAGTAGAAGCTCCTCGGACTTCACATTCTCATCAGGTTGTGACAGCTCAGGCTGCTCCAAACAGCTTCCAACAATATCGCTTTCAGCATCATGAGTATCTTTTACGGCAACATCACGAGAATGGGAATCTAACTCATTACGCTCAACGCTCACACTTTCTACTTTCTCAGATGACTCTGCTTTGCTGATAAACTCAGCATCCCAAGAAGTCTCCGACGAAGCAAACTCAGTATTCCCTTCACAAAACTCAGTCCCATCACCAGGAGCCAAATGAAACTGAGGAGTATTCAACCTCAAATTCTCAGCCTCCTGCTCAGCCGCCGAGACAGGAGCTGTTAGTATACGTCCATCAACACTCACCAAAACCACTTCAGAATCCAATCCCTGAGACTCCCCAAAACTCTCCACATTAAGATTATCAAACCTAGCACTCCCATACTCAGAGGTAGGAGAAGGCGGATCATCATCCTGAAAATCATAATACCTTCTATTACAATCAGACTCCGTCCTATCAAGCCGACTCAAAGAGTTGAAACCTTCTCGTAATCCCTCAGCACCAGCGTCAGATAAACTATGCTCAAGCCTTAAACCATTGTTCTCATTGTTATTATTATTATTCTCTGTGTCATTATTAGCTGCTGTAGGATCAACCTCTCTGATGAAATACGCTTCACCAGAGTTATCAAGATACATGTGGAAATCAGCTTCAGTGCCATTCACAGAGATCTTCACAAATTTCTCTGCTCCTTTGAGAACTCCTTGGAACTTACCGAACCTAACGTACCAGGGAGTGCTCCTGAAGGAGCCGTCCTCTTGTTGAACAACGATCACATCGATCGCACCACCAAAGGGATGAAAGGGTGTGGCGACGGAGTACACGCCTTGTGAAATCAAACTCCCAAATCTTCCGACCAAACTCATTTCATCAAAACTCTTAAGACAAAACCTTTTCGTTTCACTGTCCTGACCATATACAAGATGTAGAAATTAGAAAGGTTTGTAATTTTCCAGCCTGTAGATGAAACAAAACAACCCAACAAATTTAAATTTAGAGAACCCAAAAGGGTTAATCAAAAATCAAAAACAAAGAAAAGAAACCCAGCAGATTCTATTACTATTACAATTTTCCGACCAGACTTGTCCGAATTCAGACATACAGTGTTAGCGGTTCCAGCAAACATTAGATTTTGAACTAAATTTAAGCAGATATAAATCAAACACGGGTGGGTTTAATTGTCGGAGAGACACAACTATACGATGATCCACTATCTAAATCGCAAAAACGAAAATGATCGAGTTTCGAATTTAAACTTACAGAAAAAAAAAAAAAAATTAAACTTACAGATTAGGAAGTTTCTAGCGGAGAATCCGAGAAAATTAAAACGCCGGCGGAGTAAATGATGAATCCGGTTGCTCAGAAATCGAGATTCTAATTGGATTTAAATTGTCTTTTTTTTTTTCTGTGAATTTTCTGCTATTCTATCAGTTGCATTGAATGTGTTTTCTTTTGTGGTTGAGAAGACTTTGCTTTTGCTTCGTCGATTGTGGGTGGATTTTCCGAGAAAGTGAGAAAAGATGCTTTGTTTTGGATAACCAGAAAACAAATTAAATTGAATCCGCCATTACTAAGAGAGACTGTGATTGCTTATATAGATTTGTCTGTGATCGGATGGAGATTCACGAGAATGGTCTAAGGTTTTGTGTAATTAGTAATATTGTGGAGGGTAGGATTGGTATTTTTGGTAATTACTTATGTGAATGAATATTATTATGCTCATGAAAATAAAAAACAAATGCTCGATTTTACATCGAAATTGTATTGTAATGAGTTTCCCTTTATTACATTTTTTAACTTCAAAAATAGTTTAGATTATTTATACATTGTGAGAAAAATTCATGTGGGAAGATAAATAAAAAAAAAAAACAGTTTTGTTGCTAAAAAAATGACAAAAAAACAGTTTTGGTAAAGACAATAGTAAAATTATATGGATAGAGTTCGTCAGTAAAAAAAATGGATAGTCGTGGGAATATTAGAATCCAGTCATCCACACGATAGCATATTAGTGGGATATTCTTTTTCTACACGTAAAACATCATTTTTGCTAGTTTATAACAACAAGCCAAAACTATACTGCAGACTTTTAAAGGCAAACTATACTTAATATAGACATTCCATTTTCTTCTTAATTTTCTAGAGACATGCAAGTGATCATTCATTGAACTATATATAGACCACAAGTTAAATAGATATGGTTTGTTTGTTGAAGAAAACATAACCTTGTTTTCATAAGCATCGACTGTTCAGTTTATTGTTTTTTTTTTTTTTTTTTTTAATGAATGTTAAATTTTATTCATCAAAAAAACCTTTATACAAACTAGTGCTTACTTGTTGCTCAAGGAGCTAAAACAAATCAACCCATAACTTCAAAAGGAAAACTAATTACATTCTAGTTTGAAACCAATACTGCAAAACCCTCTCCATCCCTTTTGCATTCTTACTTCTCATGAGACTTAACTTGTTCCGGATGCCTTTATCAATAACCTTCTTAAGAACTTCTAATGGAAGCAACTTATCACCATGCTTTATTTTATTCCTCTCCCGCCAGACTGCATAGATCACAACCTGGAGAGCATACCTTATGCAGAAAAGGCTCAGCTTATCTCTGTCTTTATCGACAATTATCTTCATAATCTCTACCCATACATTCGTATAGGAGCGACCAAGAATACCTTTTACTGAACTTTCCCAGACTTGTGTAGTATAAGAACAAGCAAAGAAAAGATGGTCTTTTGTTTCTATGCCATTCTTACACAAAGCACAAGTTGTATCAGCCCCCACACACCAATTAGCAACTCTATCCATTGTCGATAGGCGGTTCAAAGCAGCTAGCCAAGCAATGAAAGCATACTTGGGTGTAGCTTGAGGAAACCAGATACCACAAGCCCACTCACATTTTGGATTATGTTCCCTCAGCAAATCCCAAGTCTCACTTGTCAGAAACTGACTCTTATATCCCGACTTCCTTCTCCATAAACAAGCATCAATTTTGTCAACACAAAGCTCATCCTTGACTCTCAACAAATCAGCTTCAATATCATTGAGTTCTCCTCTACGGTGAATTCTCCTTCTCCGAGGATTCAGAATTGCTTCCTCGACCGTGGCATTCTTACTGACCCCCAGATCAATTATACCTCTTGCTCCCAGAATATCAAAAGAACACCTCTATCCATCCACTTATCATACCAAAACGATGTATGCCTTCCATTTCCCAACTCTTTTTTAAAAAACAATCTAGCCACTTCTCTCAACTTCAGAATATGACGCCACATCCAAGAACCAGTTTGAGTTTTTATACTGACCTCCCAAAAACTTCTACCCTTCAGCAGAGTGTCTTTTATCCATCTACCCCAAAGCGAATTTCCTGAGAGCATCCTCCAAACGAGTTTGAGCCCATTAACCTTGTTAACATCCCGAAGGTTTCTTATACCCAGACCACCCTCCTCCATAACTCTACAGATCTCAGACCACGCCACCTTAACCCCAGTTGACTTCAAAAGAGGACCTGACCAAAGAAAAGCCGAGCAGATTTGCTCCACCTCCTTAATACAAGCTCGAGGAAGACGGAAGCCGGAAGACCAGAAATTAATGATACTCATAACCACAGATTTGATTAACATCAATCTACCAGCATAGGAAAGATGTCTACAGGTCCATGAAGCAATTTTCCTTCTGATGTGTTCCAAGAGAGGTGCATAGTCTTGGTTCCTCATGGCTTTAGTCATGAGAGGAAGGCCTAAATAGCGAACCGGGAGCTCACCCACCGCAAGAGGAAAATTTGTTAAAATTCTACTCCTTTCAGTTTCCGAGACTCCTGCCATAAAGATGGTTGATTTCTCCAAACTGATACGCAATCCTGACCAACTCTCAAAATCATCAAAAACCGAGAGAGCACCTTCAATAGAGTTCTTCGAGCCTTCTACGAAGACCATAAGGTCATCAGCGAAACAGAGATGCGTGAGAGAGAGGTTACGACAGCCAGGATGAATTTTGAACCTCCCTTCCAACAGAGCTTGATCAATCTTTCTTGATAAAACGTTCATACAGAGGACGAAGAGGTAAGGCGATAGATAACAACCTTGACGAAGGCCTCTTGAGCTCTGAAAATATCCTGCAAGATCCCCATTCACTTGCACAGAGAATGAAGGACTTGTGATACATAATTTAATCCAGTGAATGAATTTCTCCGGGAAGCCTAGAGCACTTAGAATCTCCAGAACAAAAGCCCACTGCACTGAATCAAAGGCCTTTGAAATGTCTATCTTCATCACACATCTTGGAGAGACCGTGTCCTTGTGGTAATCTTTGACCAGCTCAGATGCTAACAAAACATTTTCCAACAGTAGCCTGCCTTTTACAAATGCAGACTGATTCTCCGAAATAATCCTTGGAAGAATCTGCTTGAGTCGATTTGCTAACAGCTTAGACACCACTTTGTAAATCACATTGCAACAGGCAATGGGACGATAGTCTCTCATTTCCAAGGAGTTGATCTTCTTAGGGATTAGAGCCAAGATTGTAGAGTTGATTCCCTTCGGTAGAAAACCAAATCTAAACACTGACTGGATTGCAACAGTGAAATCCTGCGAGATCACCGACCAAGAAGATTTATAAAACTCACTGGTGAAGCCATCCGGCCCAGGAGACTTGTTATTTGGCATGGCAAAGACCACTCTACGAATCTCCTCACTAGTTACCTCAGCCTCAAGAAGTCTGCAGTCCTCAGAAGTACAACCAACAGAGAGAATAGCCTTCAACTCACTAGCTGATGTACCAGAATAAGCTTCTGGTTTATGGTTAAGAAACTCAGAGAAAAATTTCACAGCTTCATGTTTTATCTCCTCATGAGTATTAACAACTCTTCCATCCAAGCAACGAATCTCCCTCATCATATTCTGAGCTTGCCTCGACTTTATTGCTCTATGGAAGGTCTTATTATTTTGATCTCCTTTATCCAGCCAATGCAGCTTAGCTCTTTGCTTCAGGAAGTCTTCTTCTAGCGTGGCAGCATTAAGCCATTTACCATAAGCCTCCGACTCTTCCTGAACAGCAAGATCTGTTGGGTTAGACAATGTGATTCTTTGCTTGACACATAGATCCTCAAATGCTTCTTTAGCTTTCTTCGTTAAATTTCCCAGCCTGTTCCTTCCCAATTCTCGAATCAGTGGTTTCAACCCTTTAAGTTTCTTTGAGAATCTGAACAATGCCGAAGTTGAGTGGTAAAGAGATCCAGAAGCACTCCAATAATCTTGCATCATTGGAAGAAAAGAAGGCAAAGAGCTTATCACATTGACGAACTTAAAAGGCCTCTTAATCTTTTCACTCTGTGGAAACAGTTGAATTTTACATCTCAAGTGGTCAGAGCAGCCACCTGGCTCAAAAACTGAATAAGCATTGTTGAACCGATGAACTCCCTCCTCATTCAACAACACCCTGTTCAGCTTTTTACAGATGACCCCTTCAACACGCTTATTACACCAAGTGTGCATTGGCCCTTGATAAGCCATGTCAGTTAGCTGGCAACGAATCACCATAGCTTGAAAATCTCTCATACTTCCCGGAATCCTCCCTGTATTCTCAAACCGAGAACTCTCTCTTCCTTCCAATATCTCATTAAAATCCCCTATGATCATCCATGCCTTGTTTTTAAATCTCTGCGATTCATGATGAGTAATAAGATCCTCCCATAACAACTTCCTCTCCTCTGCCTGATTACAAGCATACACACAAGTACAGTAGAACTCCTCTTCATCTTGTAGTTCAACCATACAAGTAATGATTTGGTCAGACTTAAACACCGGAGTCAGCCTAACCGAATCCCTCCATAAACACCAGATTCTCCCCCCCCCCTACTATTCTCATAATTAGTGATCACAGACCAATCACTAAAATGAGAGTTCAGAATTTTCTCCGCCTTTTTCTCCTTTACCCTTGTTTCCAAAATACATCCAAATCTCATATCCGTATTACTTATCCAATCCCTTACCACAGAATGCTTAAGAGTTTTGTTAAAACCTCGTACATTCCAGAAGAAGCTAGCCATGATTAGTTTTTACGGCGAGAAGACCTTTTGCTCTTTGGAAAATCCTGAGCTATGGCCTTCTGACTTCTCCTCCCTCCCTTTTTCGTTATAGCTTTCCTTACCAAATCCAACTCCTCATTCTCTTCTTGATCTTCCACTGTAACATCTTCAGTCTCAGTATCATTTCCCATTTCATTATCATGTTGTGACAGTGAAACTTCACCCTCCTCCGGATCTTCCACACTCAATAGAGAATATCTTGATGCCGATATCAGAACCTCAGTATCAATCTGTGGAGATTTTAACTGAGCTCTTCCTAATTTGTCTTGTGAAACCGGTGACCAGTCATAGCCTTTCTCTACCACCTCTTTACCAAGTATCTCCTCTTTATTAACATTTTCCTTAGTAACCACTTCCTCCATAACTACCTTCCTCACTTGTATTTCCACATTTTTCTCCTTCAAAAGAACATCCCGAGCATCATCCTTTAATATTTCCCCCTTATCCTCTTTTTTATTTAGTTCCGCCTCATCTCGTTTCATCATAACCTTCATATTTTTATTCTTCTTCACACACACCTTCTCTGTATGACCCCATTTCTCACAAAAAGAACATCTCGCTGGCAACCAGGGATAATAGAACATAGCAGTGAATTCCACTTCACCCACCATAAAGTCTATCTCCCTAGGCAAGGTTTTCGATACATCCACATTTACGAACACCTTAGCTTCTTCAAAATTTGAACAGGCTAAAGTCTCAGGATGTAGATGCAATGGCTTCCCAACTATGCTCGTCATAAAACTCAGAGCCTCCCACGAGTATAGATGCAGAGGAACTTTAGTCAATTGAACCCACATTGGTATTGCTTCTTCCTCCTGCTTCTCTTCCTCTGATTTAGGTGACCATTTCTTGACAACCATCGGAACACCCGCTATATTCCACATCCCCCTTTTGATGATCTTCTCACGAGCTTTTTGATTTGAAATCTTAAACCTCATCGTTGTTGCATTAACATCATAAACCTCCACCTTAGAACTCAGATCCCCATAGCTCCATATTTTGTTTACCACCATGTGAACTTTAGCTATATGGGGAGCAGTTTCCAGAAACTTACCCACCACAAAGTCCTCCCAGATCGGAGTAGATTCCGCAATAATCTTCTCCGGAATCACGACCTTATGCTTTCCATCATGTGATCGAACCTCCACCTCGTATTTCCTCAGACTTCTTTTTTCTTGCGCAATCGAAACCCAAGAAGGATCCCCTTTCTTCAATCCACCATTACCAGCGAAATCAGAACCCTCCGAACCTCCCCGATCTTCCCCAAGCGGCGGAAAAGACACCGGCGAAACCGCCTGAACCATCGCGAATCCCTAGAAAACCGTCGCTCAGAATCGCCTAAAAAATCGCCCAAAATCGCCTTTAGTAAAACGGTGCGTTTAGCTCTCTCGCTTCTGCTATACTCTCTCGCTTTTAAGTAAAAATATATGAAAAAAATATTTTTTTTTAGTTAATACATAAATTTCTTGCCTCGATCACTCTTTAGAGGTGTAATAAGAGTTCTAGATGTGTTTAATAAGCATTGTTACAAGTGTCGTAATGTGATTTTACATTCTCACCTAACTCGTTTTCTTAGAGCCACATCATTTTCAGGGCCGACTCTGGTGGTCGCTCCAATAGTTTTACACGCAAATAAGTACCATTTATATATACCAGCTGCAGTAGTATTATTTTCTATGAATACTTGTATATTTAGTGGCTTCACTTCTTCCTTTCTCTATTCTAGTAGAAAAACAAAATTGCTCTGAAGAAGAAAGGTTCACCGCACGTGTTACTCATTCTCCTTTCCTACCAAATACCAACCGTTCTAACCTCTCAACATCAGAGAGGCCCAATGGTCTTGGGCTAGACAAAAGCCCGAAACCTTCCAGTTAAACGAAACCGTTTTGCTTCCGCCACTTGAAATCGAGTCAAACGCCATTTCCGTTTCTTCAAAGGGAAGATCCCAAACCAAACGAGAACCAACATCTCTCCTCTACTCGACTCGACTGTTACGCCGCCAAAATGACGAGATTACCCCTCTCCATCCCCCTCCTCCTCCTCCTCTCCGCCTCCACTCTCCTCACCCCCACATCCGCCGAGACAAAATCCCTAACAATCTCCACCGACGAAAGACCAATGATCCTCTTCGAGAAATTCGGATTCACCAGATCAGGCCACGTCAGCGTCTCCGTCTCCTCCGTCTCCGTAACCTCCCCTTCCTCCACTCTAATCCCAGATCCGTCGCGTCTCGGCTTCTTCCTCATGTCAGAGGAATCCCTCCTCCAAGTCCTCCTCGAGATCCAGCAAAACCCTAGCTTCTGCGTCCTCGACTCCCCTTACGTCCTCCACCTCTTCACGTTCCACGACCTCTCCCCTCCCCCCACCTCCAGCTACGAGCATCTCTACCCCGTGACCTCCCCCAACGAATACTCCCTCTTCTTCGTCAATTGCGTCGCCGACACCAAGATCTCGATGAAAGTCAGAACGGAAATGTATAATCTAGATCCCAACGGGGAGAAGGATTACCTCCCCGCCGGGTCGACCCGGTTACCGGGATTGTATTTCTTGTTCTTTATTGGTTACTTAGGTTTTCTTTGTTCCTGGGGGTATGTTTGTTGGATTAATAAACGAGTGGTCCATAGGATCCACGTCCTCATGGCGGCGCTTCTTTTAATGAAGGCTTTGAATCTGATCTGCGCGGCGGAGGATAAGCATTACGTGAAGGTCACGGGGACGCCGCACGGATGGGATGTGTTGTTTTATATATTTCAGTTTATCCGTGTGGTTCTTCTGTTCACTGTGATTGTGTTGATTGGGACTGGTTGGTCTTTCTTGAAGCCGTTTCTACAGGAGAAGGAGAAGAATGTGTTGATGGTTGTTGTTCCTCTTCAGGTTCTGGCGAATATTGCGTCGATTGTGATCGGGGAGACGGGGCCTTTTATCAAGGATTGGGTTACGTGGAACCAGGTGTTCTTGCTTGTGGATATTGTGTGTTGTTGCGCGATTCTGTTTCCTATTGTGTGGTCGATACGGTCGTTGAGGGAGACGTCGAAGACGGATGGGAAGGCGGCGAGGAACTTGGCGAAGTTGAGTTTGTTTAGGCAGTTTTATATTGTTGTGATTGGGTATTTGTATTTCACGAGGATTGTTGTGTTTGCGTTGAAGACGATTGCGGCGTATAAGTATCAGTGGGTGAGTAATGCGGCTGAGGAGGTTGCGAGTTTGGCGTTTTATGTGGTGATGTTTTATATGTTTAGGCCGGTTGAGAAGAATGAGTATTTTGTTTTGGATGAAGAGGATGAGGAAGCTGCGGAGTTGGCGTTGAAGGAGGATGATTTTGAACTTTGATTGACTATACAAAGCCGTGAGTAACTCTATGAGGAGGTTTGCTTTTTCTTTTTCTGTTGTTACTTTTAAAATTCAAAGTAGTTTGTTTGCTAAGGGGAATAACTGTGTATGTAGTGGTCTATTACATTGTAAAAGCTTGTTTGTCCCTGAGACTGGTTTTGATTGTAAGAAAGATTTAGTGCATGTGATGTCCACTGTGTGATATCAGGAGTCTAGTGAGTCTGAATATTTTTAATTTGCTCAGTGGTTATTGGTTAATCTAAGCGCAGATACTTCTCTTTGTTGAAGTCTTCGAGTGTTTGTAGCATAGATATATGAATCTGTTGGATTGAAACTTAGGGAAAAGATCTGAGGTAATGTCTTCCTTGGTTTGTAAAACCATGTAAACACCACACAGATCATCACTGTGTTTCATTGCTCATCATCAGAGAAGCATACTACTTACTAGCCTCTAGGTATACATATGGTTTTAGAGGATGCATACTACAAGAAGGCATGAATATAGTTACAAAAAGAATCTTCAAAATAAACACAATCAACATTTTCAATTAGAGAGCTCAAACTAGTCCCTTTTCTTGTAACAAAGCTTCCACAGCTCGTCTACCAGAGACCAAAGCACCATCAAACGTAGCAGAAGTCATGTAATCACCGCATAAGTAAAGACCCGCCCCAACCCGAGGATCCTTAACCAAATCAGTGGGCGGGCATTGGTTCGGCTGAGCGAATCCGATCCGGTACGTTCTCAAATGTCTCCATGACATAACCGAAGACTCACCAAACCAACCAGAGAGTTCCCTAATAACCTCCGCTGCTAACTCCTCATCGGACCTATCCTCAAACAAACCGATCAAAGATACCGAAACCAGAGCCTTCCCCGGCGGCGCGTACGTCCGAGCAACGTTCGTAGGGAAAAACATATTGTTTATAATACCACTGTTCGTCCCATTGAGAAACAGAACCGGATCTTGCACCGGTATCTGATCCGGTTCAGCTGCAAAGTAAATACAAACAGTACTCCGAGCCGGTTTAATACTAACCGGTTCTCTAATACCGTTTAAAAGCTTATCCACTTGTGGTTGCTCGACAGCGAGTATAACACCCAACTCTGCATTCAAAACGCCGCCGTCTTGTAGTCTCACTAAAGGTGAACCCGACCCGTTTTGATACTCAACCGAAGCGACTCTAGTGTTCAACAAGATCGAATCAACCGGTAATTTACCCGCCAACTGGTTAGGAATCTCTCCAATCCCCATAGCGGGAAGCGTGTTTTCTCCCAAAGCAAGACACCGAAAAACAAAATCGAACAGCTTCGACGTCGTTTCGAGATCTCTATCGAAAAAAATCCCACCGAAAAACGGACGAAAAAACCGATCGAGAATCTCATCGGAGAAACCGATCTTCCGAAGAAGCTCAATCGTCGTAACTTCCTCGACGCTAGTCAATATCTCTTCGTCCGATCTAACCAGAACCCTAGCTCTCGTCAACGCGATAAGCCCCTTGTCAAAAACCGATCCGATCGGGTTCGTTAGAGAGGCCACGGAGTCTAATAGATGACGGAGAGGATCGGCGACGGTGTGAAACTCTCCGCCGTGGAAAACCTTAGCTCCGGCGTAGAATCTCTGGAGGTCGAGGGATTCGTAATCGAGAAGCTTCTTGGCTTCGGGGTAGGCGGTGATGAAGATCTGAAACCCTCTGTCGAGGAAGAAGCCGTCGACGACGTCTGTGCGGACGCGGCCGCCGACGCCGTCGGAAGCTTCCAGGAGTTGGAAAGGGATTTGCGCGGAGGTGAGACGAGTCGCGGCGGCTAGGCCGGCGAGTCCGGCGCCGATGATGATGACGCCTGTTTGATGATTCTCTTGGGCGGAAGATGCGGAGATGCGGCGGGTTCGGAGATTTGCGTGAGGGCGGCGGCGAGGGAAGAGGTGAGGAGGAGGAGATGAGGTTGGGAGAGAGATCGCTAGTGGCATTTTTTAAAAAGTTTGGATAAGGTTTTTTTTTTTTTTTTCCCCCCGCGAAGAAAATAGTTTTTAAAAAAAAAATCGGGAATGGTTGATATGGGATCTGAGCCGTTGGTTGGTAGTAATTAATATTGACCGTTAGATGTTTTCTTTCTCCCTCTTTTCATTTCTGTTTATAAGAGAGAAGTGAAAAGTTAGGTTAAAGCTTCGCTGAGCGAGCGCGGCGAAGTATCTGATCACGAGGTATGTATGGCTTTGCTGGGAATGGAATTAGGGTTCTTCTTACTCATTATCTTCCGCATTGTCTTCATGTTTTTGTTATTTTCCATGAATTAGGATACGAATTTGAATCGAAAAGAAGTTTTCTTTTTATTTGGTTTCAGCTTTGTATACGTTAAAAGGTGATACCTTTGATTTCTAATGTCTATTGGTATTGTGGTTTTCTCTAGTTTGGTTCTTTTTTTTTTTTGTGTGTGTGTGTGTGTCCTGATGAGATTTGATATATTAATGAATGGGAGAGATGTAATAATTTTTTTTTTGTCTGTAGACTTGAAAGATGCCTCGCTATGATGATCGTTACAGTAGCAATGATCGATACGGTGGTGCGCGTCTCTATGTTGGCCACCTCTCTTCTCGAACCAGGGAACGAGATCTTGAATACCTCTTCAGCAAATATGGAAGGTAGTTTTTTTTCTTTGTTTTCAGCTCTTCTATGTGTGCAAACATAGTCCTCTTGTGGTCGAGTTTTGCATTTAGTCAAGCTTCTGTGGTTTTGTTTTGAATATGCATATTCGGCTTATTTTTAAGTTTTGTAGAACAAGGGATGAGTAACAGTTGATATGTGTATTCGTTAGCTGATATGGGTGGGAGTGTTGTGACTTAACATGTAGCATATGTGTATGATGTTGGTGAAGGTTTCTTGACTTGGAGGTTTGTTTTGAGAGAGAGAGATTGGTTCACCTTGGTGGAAATTCGTTCTTGGTGTTTAGGTGACTTTGGTGGTTCTGTTTGTTGTGTTGGTTGCGTGTTTTGGTGATGAACTTGGCAATTCCGTTGATGGTGGTGAAGTATCATAACACTAGCTACATCTCTTAAAGTAAAATGATGGTCTTACTGTTTCTGTCATACCATTTCCGCAGAATTCGAGATTTGGACATGAAGCGAGACTATGCCTTCATTGTAAGTAGTATTGCTCTATAACTATGTAATTATTTTTGTTTTCTCCATTATGTAAGCTGTGTCCTCTTATTAATGGCTCTCTCTGTGGTATATATCTTCACTGTTTTGATCACAGGAATTCAGTGATCCTAGAGATGCTGATGATGCGAGGTACAGGTTGGACGGAAGAGACTTTGATGGAAGCCGTATCACTGTGGAGTTTGCAAGAGGGGTATACTCCTTTATCTTTATGAAAAACTTTATGTTGTTCGTTGGTTTAAGACTCTTGATTTTCTTTCATTTTTCTGTTGTAGACACCTCGTGGTTCCCGTGAATTTTCCTCGAGCAGAGGCCCTCCTCCAGGAAGTGGTCGTTGCTTCAACTGTGGTCTTGAAGGACACTGGGCTCGAGATTGCTCTGCTGGTGACTGGAAGAACAAATGTTATCGATGTGGAGATAGGGGTCACATCGAGAGGAACTGTAAGAACAGTCCTAGGAAGCTCAGGTACCGTTTAACAATCCCATGTTACACTTATTCTAGTTTGATGATTTTATTTTGATTATATTTCAGGCGGGATGCAAGTTACTCAAGATCGCCGGTTAGGTCTCGGTCTAGGTCTCCTCGTCGCAGAAGAAGAAGCCCCAGCAGAAGCTATAGCCGTGACCGTAGCTATAGGTACAGTGATGTCTCAGTATTACACTTTAGTTTCACACTATCGAAACACAAATTTTTTGATTTTGACGCAAATCTTCTATGTTCTGTTTGTGTCTTGGTTTCTCAGTCGCTCCAGATCACCGGTTAGGAAGGAAAAGGATCGTAGTCCTGAAACTGCAAGAAGCAGAAGCCCTGAAATTGCAAGAAGCAGAAGCCCTGAAGCTGCAAGAAGCAGGAGCCTTGAAGCCGCAAGAAGCAGGAGCCCAGAACTAATGGTTGACAACTCTCCTCCATCAAAAGATAGGAAGCGAAGTTTGACTCCTGAAGAAGGCAGCCCTAAGCGTGAACTGAGCCCGAGAGGAAACGATGATGGAGGTATTGGAAACAGTGAGCAAGACCGAAGTCCTATTCCTAGAGAAGACCTTAGCCCTGTGGAGGATGATGACCAGTGAAGAGTGGGAAAACAAGTGATTGCTTAAGGTGTCCTCAGAAGACTTGTAATGGTTTTAGACAACTGTAATGGATTCTGTTATTTTTTCCTGAGTGTTTGGAGGCTTGGCTTTTTACTTCGACTGTTTTCACTTTTATGTAGAAGAAGCTTAAGAAAAGTATGATGAAACAATTGTTTGCTTGTTTCTTTCTGTTGTGCACAGAGTTTTAACTGAGATCACTTCTGTGATTCTTGTCTTACATGGCTATGATTACACAGTTGATGTTGAAGTTTGATAAAAGCTAACAACCTGAGCATTTGGTTGTTTGTTCATTCACGTACACAGTTTTTTAAAAAAACGTCGACAGCAGGGTTCGAACCTGCGCGGGCGAAGCCCAACAGATTTCAAGTCTGTCTCCTTAACCACTCGGACATATCGACGTCTTGCTTTCCTTAGATTCCATATTTAAAAAATCATTTAATGATCGAAGATGGTAAGAAGACATGATGCAAGCACTAATTGTGGAGACGTTAATGTGGTTTGTAGTGTGATGTTTGATTTGGCAAATTGGTTTGATTATTAGGTACAAGTCCTTTTCTTACATACCAATTATAGACTATATAAAAGAAGCACGACCATACAATATATTACAACAATGTCATGAAGTCGTCGAAGACTGCATCCAGAAGTCTTCCACGTGATTTAACCTTTGAGGCTCTAAATTCAAGTGACAACAACAAAACAAAATAATAAAACCAAAAAATATAATTAAAAAAATGAAAACTGAATGGTCTAGAATCGAAGAGAAACCTACTCCACATAATATTTTAGACGCACACACCAACTTTCTTGCCTTCGCCATGTGGACTCTCCACCTTTCTCTCTCTAAACACTGTCCTTATCTGCACTAAAATCAATGAGCTCATCGCCGTCAAGGAATCCGACGTCCACCGAAGCGCCACCACCGTCTTCATCGACTTCGACGGATGCGGAGGGTTTGTCAAAGAAGGTGAGGAAACCTTATACCATCACCAAGTCTAGGGAAAGTTGGACAGAGGAAGAGCATGATAAGTTCTTAGAAGCACTTCAACTGTAAGAATCTCTTTGCTTCTATTGCTCTCTTTTCTCTTATTTGTTTCCGTGTGCTTCAAGCTTTCTGAGTATGCTTAGGTTTTCTGTGTTTAGTTAGTTCCACAAGGTTTTGTATGTTAGGTTTTACTTGTTAGCTAAAAGATCTCTTTAAATTGATCTTTATATTGTATGATAGTAATATTTGTTGTTAGAATAAATAGAGTAACATTTTATTTTGTGTAGCAACTAGTAGCTCATGTCGAATTTAGCGTTTAAAATGATTCAGAGGATATGATAAATGATTTTTTTCTTTCAGTAGAGCATCTTTGTCTTATTTGATTAGTCGTTTTTTTTTCTATTGCTCCATAGACTCTGTTTTTTTATTCCTTTAGGTTTGATCGTGATTGGAAGAAGATAGAAGATTTCGTGGGTTCCAAGACTGTGATTCAGGTTTGATAATAGCTTCCTCTTTTTTAAGTTTTAGTCGTATTTACTCATGTGATGATGACTTCTTGATTTACCATAGATAAGGAGTCATGCCCAAAAATACTTTCTAAAGGTTCAGAAAAACGGTACACTAGCACACGTTCCACCCCCTCGTCCCAAACGCAAAGCAGCTCATCCTTACCCTCAAAAGGCATCAAAGAACGGTTAGATAGTTTAGTAATAATATTCATATCCAGTATATACCTGATTTTTAAATCTTTTCTTTTTCTTTTTCACACAGCTCAAATGCAACTTCAAGTGTCCACTTCATTTACTAGTCGAAATAGCGTCATGTCTGGTGGATATACTTCGTGGGATGACGTATCAATGATGCTAAACAGAGCCATTTCACCACTACAGGAGCTTGCTACTATTCATGGAGCAGAAGGCATGCTCTTTAGTCTGTGTTTTATTTTTATATTTTCTATTGTTGTTTTAGTAGTAGAATAGGGCTTCATGTTAGGACGTTTCATGTGCTTATTATGGCATATAACGCCACTGATTCAGATGATATTGGGTCGAAGGGTTTATTAAATGTTACTAGCCCTTCGACCTCTGGTATGGGAAGCTCAAGCCGAACACTACCAGGTTCTGAGATTGTAGTACAACAGGCAGAACATCCTCCAGTGCTTCAAGGTAGTTCATCTTATTAGTATGTGTGTTTTGTTGATAGTTTACGTGGTGGACACTGTAGTGATGATGATGATGATTGCTTTGCAGCTGTTCCTGATTTTGCTGAAGTTTATAACTTCATAGGGAGTGTGTTTGATCCTGAAAAGAGAGGTCACGTGGAAAAGCTCAAGGAAATGGATCCTGTCAATTTTGAAACTGTGAGTCAGAGCTTAGAAAACTTTTTAGGTTAAGTGATGTACAAGTTTTCTAGTGTCATTTTGCTAATCACAGTGTTTTTGTTTTACAGGTTCTGCTATTGATGAGAAACCTCACAGTTAACTTATCAAACCCTGATTTGGAATCCACAGTAAGTGTTAAATTTACGATAGAAAATTTTTAAAAAAGGTTTGTGATGAGTCTGAACCATTACACTTGTCTGCGTGTCACTTATATGTACTATGGTGTCACTTCTTTAATATAGTTTGTGGGCTCTTAACTTTGTGTGATATAAAATACAATCTAACCTTAGTTAGTCTGACTGTAATGATGCTGCAGAGGGAAGTACTCTCATCAGATGAGGTCAACACCGATATTCCAAGTGTTACAACTGGTTCCTTTGTCCACCACTCAACAAGTGACAAATCAGATTCATGAAGATCTCAGCCATCAGTTCTCAATGTAAGTGTTTTCATTTTACTCTCATTGAGCATATACAAGAAAACACTTCACCATTACTCAAAATCACCTAAGTCAGTAGCTAGATCTCTGTATCTGCTTATATAAGTTTAGTCCCAGCCATCAATGTAGAGTTCTCACTAGTAGTCTAAGTCACACTCATAGTAGTAAATTATAAAAGACTTTGTTGCTAATTTCTTAAAGTCTTGAATATAAGTTATATGTGGTTCTGTCCGTAATTGCAGGTTGAATCGTCTATTATCCATGTTTTATAAACTTTTGGGTGTATACGTCAATGGGAATCACAATCTTGTTAATGTGTCCAAAACGGTTTGTTATTGTTTTGAGGAGAAGAAACATGAGTGAAATTTTCAAAGCTTCATGTAAAGATTCTTGACCAGTACTAGTTCCTTGAATGGCATAGGTTTAATATAATTCAAGGGGGTCTACTTGTTCTTGGTCTACAAGCTAGGTGGTTGGAGGACAGCTTCATCCTCACACGTTTGTACAAAATTCTCTTTCTACTTTTGTTTTGTTATTTGTAATATGTTTTTTATATGTTCTGTCTGTTGGGTGAATCTCTAGTTAGTTTTTGCCCTTCTATCAGATTATGATTTGGTTAAGGAGTGTTCCCTTGGAGAAGTCGTAAGACTTCTTGTTCTAGTTCAAGAACACTCTTAAGTACATAACAGCAACCCTCTTGTCTTGAAGCTGTGACAAACAAAAAAGGTTGTAATCAGAATTTGTTTAACCAAGAGAAACATCAAATGCAACTTTAAAAAGCATCCTAAACAACAAAGTTACTTAAAACACAGCATTCAAATTTGACAAGCTTAAGTGATTAGAATCCTTGAGTCACACACCTCATGGTTATAAGACAGAGTACCTGCTGGTACCTTGTGATCTTCCAGGAAACGACAAGGCTTGATTAGTAACGTCATTAACAACACGCATGAGTTCAGCTTTAGCCGCCTTAACAGATTCCTCGCTAGGCCCTTCAATAAACAAGTAAAGCTTCCTCTCTCCAGGCCTCACCATACGTCCCGGCATGAAAAACTGTCCTCTAATAGTAATAGCTGCTCCAGACCAATCTGATATCAAGCCAAGAGTGTCTCTACGTGTCACCTTCCAACGAGCATTCTGTGGGAAATCATTAATCTCCAGCTCAGCTTCATAGCGTTGTTGAGGCATTACAAAACTTTGTAGCATAGCAGAAACAGCCTTTCTTACTACAACAACATTCTCATCTTCCAACTCAGACTTGTCTTCTTCCTCAACACCATCCTCCTTCTCTTGTGCCTCTTTAGCTGCTTTCCTAACATCTTCCTCTTCATTAAACTTAAAACCCTTACCACCATAACCACTTCCATGAGCTTTCTCCATAATACCATCAGCCATTAACTTCAACTCATCAGGAACCACCTGCTCAGACCATTCCAACGCCTTGACTAAATATGGTGCATACTTTGCTTCATCCTCAGACACAAACGTCACAGCACATCCCTTCCTCCCTGCTCTCCCTGTCCTGCCAACACGATGCACATACTCTTCATAATGATTCGGAGCGTCAAAGTTCACAACCAACTCAAGCTCCTTCACATCTAAACCTCTAGCTGCAACGCTTGTAGCAACCAACAAGTTACACACACTTCCCTTAAACTCAGATATAGCCACCTCACGGTGAATCTGATCCTTACCTCCGTGGAGAGCTTGACAACGGTATCCACATTTGTTCTTCAAATCATTATACAAATTATCACACTTCTCCTGTGAACCAACAAAGACTAAGATCTTCCCTCTCTCATACCATTCCTCAATAAGCTCCACAAGTCTAGGCCTCTTCTCACTCTCTGATTTGATCTCAACAAACTGTGTTATATCCTTATTCACAACGCTCCTTACACCGGCCTGTATCTTCACAGGCTTGTTCAAGACTTTACGCGCTAAAGCTTCAACTTTACGAGGGAAAGTGGCGGAGAACAGAACAGTTTGACGGTCTGGTCTTATGTTTTGAGTAATACGAGTAATCTGAGGCTCAAAGCCCATGTCAAACATACGATCAGCTTCATCCATTACAAGAAACGTGACTCTTCCAAGATTAGTGACTCTCCCACTGTTTGTGCAGAGAATATCAATCATTCTACCAGGAGTGCAGACTATAATCTCACTACCTTTCTTAAGCTCACTGATTTGTTTAGCAACTCCTGAACCTCCATACACAGCCACAGATCTTATACCTAATGACTTTGCAAAAGTTTTGATATCTTTGTGAATCTGCTGGACTAACTCTCTAGTAGGTGCCATTACAAGCCCAATGGGTCCATCTCCGGGTTCAACGGGAGGTTGATCTTTGATGTGTCTTAGCATTGGTAAAACGAATCCGAGGGTTTTGCCTGAACCTGTTTCTGCAACTCCTATGCAGTCTCGGCCGGACATGATGATTGGGAGTGCTTGTGCTTGGACAGGCGTTGGCTTTTCAAAGTTAAGCTTCTTTATTGTGGATAAGTTTCTGTTGGTTAGGCCGGTTTGGTGCCAGGATTTGATGGGCCTTGGTACGTCTTTTCCGTGGACTTCTATCTCTAGTTCTGTTCTGTAAGTGTTGACTTCTTGTTCTGTCATGTTTGAGATGTCTTTCACTTGGATATAGAAGTTCTTCCGGAACGGTTCATAGTTTGTTTTTGAATGGTCAATAAGAGTAAGTTTATCTCCTTTTGTCTTCTTTAGTTTCTTCATGAGGTCCTCGTCGTCTTGGTCATCATCATTGTTTGTGTCTGAATAGTCAGAATCAGAATCTTCACCTTGGATGATCCAACCAAGGGCTGATTTATTAACGTTCTTCTTAGAGTCCAAAACACATAGAGGAGAAGCAGAAGCGTGGCTAAGCTTCTCAACCTCAGGTAAAACCATAGTATTCATAAAAGCATCTAAAGGATCAATTACCTCTTCATTCTCCGCGACAGAGACATTAACATTCGTTTCTGTTTGCAGAGATCCTTCTTCATCATCAGATTCTCCTTCAAGAGTCCAAGACTTACTCTCAGCTTCTTCCTTTTTCCTCTTCAACTCTTGCCACTCGTGTAATCTCCTCCTCTGTTTCTCAACCTCCTCATCCACATCCTCTACTTTGTCTTCCTTCTCACCATTGTCCTCTCCATGCCTTCTAGTTCGGCTATCAACACTCTCTTTTCTTCCACGTTTCAAGCCACGCTTGACATCGTCATCGCTCTCTTCTCTACCTCTCTTCCGATCTTTGCCTCTATCTCTCTCATGTCCTCGGCGTTCTCTTCCCTTCTCCCTCCTCCGTTCACCAACGTATCGATCGTACTCATCTTCAGAATCAACATCCCTAACCCTATCACACCGTCTCTTGCGCCTCTCCTTCTCCGAACCTTTTCCCTTCCTCTGCTCCTTACTTCGATCACGATGATTCTTCGCCTCCACGCACAAATCTTCCTTCCAGGTCTCTTTCTCCATCTCAATCACGAATAGACAACCTCGTATTCGCGCAGACAAGACCTATTGAGTTTTGTTTCCGTGTTATCTGAGGCTTGACGGACACGTATATATAGAGAGAGAGTAGAGAGGACACGGTTTTTAACCTATTTTAGGGAAAAAACGAATTATTAAAGAAAAATAATCTAGTTAGGATTAATGGGCTTTATATAGTCTACAACCATAGTAAATTTATGGATCCTTATCATCGAGCCTTAATGTTAGGGTTTGAAAGAATAATAAACTACTTAATCTTATTGGGCTTTAACAGGCCCATTAACCAAGATATCCTCAGTAACCCTAAAAAAACCCTAGTATATATAAATCATGTTAACCTGAAGCTACAAAAGCCCTTCACAGAGAGCAGTCAAGTAGACAGTGAAAGAAAACTCATCTCAAGAAATGGCAACTTCCGCCGCACGTCCTCTCGTCACCATCCAACCCCTAGGCGGCGACATGACCACCGACCAATCCTCCACCCTCCCCCTCCCCGACGTCATGACAGCCCCCATCCGTCCCGACCTCGTCAGCCACACACACGCACAAATCTCCAACAACAGCCGCCAACCCTACGCCGTCTCCAAAAAAGCAGGTCACCAGACCTCCGCCGAGTCGTGGGGAACGGGACGCGCCGTCTCACGTATCCCCCGTGTTCCCGGAGGAGGTACTCACCGTGCGGGACAAGCCGCCTTCGGTAACATGTGTCGTGGTGGACGCATGTTCGCTCCGACCAAGATCTGGAGGAAATGGCACAGACGCGTTAACGTGAACTCCAAGAGACACGCTATTGTCTCTGCCATTGCTGCAACTGCTGTTCCCGCGCTTGTGATGGCGCGTGGACATAAGGTTGAGAATGTCCCCGAGATGCCACTTGTGGTTAGTGACTCTATCGAAAGCGTGGAGAAGACGTCGGCTGCTATCAAGGTTTTGAAGGAGATTGGTGCTTATGATGATGCTGAGAAGGCGAAGGATAGTATTGGGATTAGGTCTGGTGTGGGGAAGATGAGGAACCGTCGTTACATATGTCGGAAAGGTCCTTTGGTTGTTTATGGTACGGAAGGTTCCAAGATTGTGAAGGCGTTTAGGAATCTTCCTGGTGTTGAGTTATGTCACGTTGAGAGGCTTAACTTGTTGAAGCTTGCGCCTGGTGGGCATCTTGGGAGGTTTGTGATTTGGACTAAGAGTGCTTTTGAGAAGCTTGAAGGGATCTATGGATCTTTTGAGAAGCCTTCGGAGAAGAAGAAGGGGTATGTGTTGCCTAGGGCGAAGATGGTGAATGCTGATTTGGCGAGGATTATTAATTCGGATGAGGTGCAGAGTGTGGTGAAGCCGATTAAGAAGGATGCGAAGAGGGCTGTGATGAAGAAGAATCCTTTGAAGAATTTGAATGTGATGTTGAAGTTGAATCCTTATGCTAAGACTGCTAAGAGGATGTCTTTGTTGGCTGAGGCTCAGAGGGTTAAGGCTAAGAAGGAGAAGCTTGCCAAGAAGAGGAAGACTGTCACTAAGGTAATCTCAACTCTTTGCTTTGTCATTTCAATTTTTGGTATGCATTGCAAATTCACAAATGTTCCATTATTGTTGGCTGAGTTTACTTTATTTAGTGTTCTGATTTGTGTATACAGTCTATTGCTAAGGTGTTAGTAATATGTCTGCTTATATAGTTATCGTGGTTTGTATATTGGTAGTGTAAGATTCGTTGCCTTGATTTAGATTAGATATTTGTCTTTGTGTTTATGGTCTTAGTGTTTGTGAGTCTCTTGTCTGTCTGAAACCAAAAAATATTTATATATGACAATCTTCTTTGTGTAAACTTTTTGGTAGAGTTTTTCTTAACTCGTTTTAAATCTCTTGTAATGTCACAGGAGGAGTCATTGGCAATCAAGGCAGCAGGGAAGGCGTGGTACCAGACTATGATCTCCGACAGTGACTACACTGAGTTCGATAACTTCACTAAATGGCTCGGTGCTAGCCAGTAATAAAAACATCATATGTTTGAAACTACTTCCATGTTTAGAGAAAGATTTTGGTTTTGCATCTGTTTCGTCTTTTGTTGTTGGAATATTAAGCTCAGCTTTGAACTATTTTGGACCTTGTTTTCATCAAATTTACTTTCAAATATGTTTTGCTCCTCAAATGAACTCGTGTTATGTCATGAATCATAATTCAAGACACATTTAAGTTTTTTTTTGTCTAAGTTTAATCCTCTTTTCTTAAATCTGAAAATTCGTTATTATTAGAACTTAATTACCTATTTTTCTTATGATAAGAAACACTACACCGTTACATTTGCTAAATTTTGTGTAGAAAGTAAACAAGACTGAAATGTTAAAACAGTTTATCAACTATAGCTCTAATTATAAAAGCCCTTTATCAAAAAAAAAAAAACTATAGCTCTAATCAGCTCTGTAATAAGGCATAGGAGATCAGAAACGTCAAAACAGAATTAAATGTGGAGATATACTAATTTTGAACAGATGCATGAATCCTAATACGGCGACGTAGCAACACTCCTTTCCACCCAAATAATCCATTTGGACTCAATTTTCATCACACAAACACACTCCCTCTCTCTCCAATGGACCTAAGATGAACATTCTCCGACCTCCTCCGACTTCGTCTTCGTCGTTTCCTCCATACACAAACTCCGTCACTTTAACCGCCGCCGCTTCTTTCACTCCCACCCACAACCCCATATCCCTCTGCTCTATCAACCCACTCCCCACAAACCGCCACTTTTTCGTACGGTCCGCCTCCGGAACTGCCAACAGTTCCGCCGGAGACCTCTCCTCATTCTTAGGCTCTTCTCCAGAACCTTACTCAACACACAACGACCAAGAGCTTCTGTCTCTCCTCCGAAACAGAAGAACAGACGAAGCTTGGGCTAAGTATGTCCAATCCACTCATCTCCCTGGCCCCACATGTCTTAGCCGTTTAGTTTCACAATTGTCTTATCAATCCAAACCAGAGAGTCTCACGCGCGCGCAGTCCATCCTCACGCGCCTCAGAAATGAGCGCCAGCTCCATCGCCTCGACGCTAACTCTCTCGGCCTCCTCGCCATGGCCGCCGCGAAGTCAGGTCAGACGCTTTACGCCGTCTCCGTTATCAAGTCAATGCTCCGTTCTGGGTACTTACCTCACGTTAAGGCTTGGACTGCTGCAGTAGCTAACCTCTCTGCTGCTGGTGACGATGGACCTGAAGAGTCTATCAAACTCTTTACGGCTATTACACGAAGAGTTCAACGCTTTGGAGATCAATCTTTGGTTTCTCAGTCTAGGCCTGATACTGCTGCGTTCAACGCTGTGCTTAACGCTTGTGCGAATATTGGTGATACTGAGAAGTATTCGAAGTTGTTTGGTGAGATGTCTGAGTGGGATTGTGAACCTGATGTGTTGACATATAATGTAATGATTAAGCTGTGTGCTAGAGTTGGAAGGAAGGAGCTGATTGTGTTTGTTGTGGAGAGGATTATTGAGAAGGGAGTTAAGGTTTGTATGACTACGATGCATTCACTTGTTGCGGCTTATGTTGGTTTTGGTGATTTGAGAACTGCAGAGAGGATTGTTCAAGCTATGAGGGAGAGAAGGAGAGATCTTTGTAAGGTTTTAAGAGAATGTAATGGAGAGGATTTGAAGGAGAAAGAAGAGGAAGAAGAAGAAGAAGAAGAAGCAGAAGATGGGTTTGATGATGAAGAAGATACAGTTTATACTGCTCGGGATGAAGTGGTCGAAGAAGGGTCTGAGGATATGTTCAAGAAGTTGTTGCCTAACTCGGTTAACCCGAGAGAAGAACCACCATTGTTGCCTAAAGCCTTTGCTCCTGACTCAAGGATCTACACAACGTTAATGAAAGGTTACATGAAGAATGGGCGTGTGGCGGATACAGCTAGAATGCTTGAAGCGATGAGGCGTCAAGATGATAGAAATAGCCACCCAGATGAAGTTACCTACACAACGGTTGTGTCAGCTTTTGTAAAAGCCGGGTTGATGGATAGAGCAAGACAAGTGTTAGCTGAGATGGCTAGGATGGGTGTACCTGCGAATAGGATTACATACAATGTCCTCCTCAAAGGATATTGTAAGCAGCTACAGATAGATAAGGCTGAGGATTTGCTAAGAGAGATGGCTGAAGATGCAGGGATTGAGCCAGATGTTGTGTCCTATAACATTATAATAGATGGATGCATTCTTATAGATGACAGCGCAGGAGCTTTGTCGTTCTTCAATGAAATGAGAACGAAAGGGATTGCACCAACTAAGATTAGTTACACTACTTTGATGAAGGCTTTTGCAATGTCGGGGCAACCAAAGTTGGCTAATAGGGTGTTTGATGAGATGATGAGGGATCCAAGGGTCAAAGTTGATTTGATTGCGTGGAACATGTTGGTTGAAGGGTATTGCAGGCTAGGTTTGATTGAAGATGCAAAGAGAGTAGTTTCGAGGATGAAAGAAAACGGGTTTCACCCAAACGTGGCGACTTATGGGAGTCTAGCTAATGGGGTTTCCTTGGCGAGGAAGCCAGGTGAGGCGCTTTTGCTATGGAAGGAGATAAAGGAAAGGTGTGTGGTGGTGAAGAGAGAAGAATCTGAAGGAGATTCTTCTCCTCCGATGCTGAAACCTGATGAAGGGTTGTTAGATATGTTAGCTGATATATGTGTGAGAGCTGCGTTTTTCAAGAAAGCATTGGAGATAATCGCGTGTATGGAAGAGAATGGGATACCTCCGAACAAAACCAAGTTTAAGAAGATCTATGTGGAGATGCACTCGAGGATGTTCACTAGCAAACATGCGTCACAAGCTAGGGTAGAGAGGAGGGTGGAAAGAAAGAGAGCGGCTGAAGCTTTCAAGTTTTGGCTTGGTTTGCCTAATTCTTACTATGGCAGTGAGTGGAAGTTAGGTCCAAGAGACGACTAGACTATCCTATTGATCATGCTACTCTCTCATTCACCAATGTATACTAGGCTGTTTACTAGATGTTAGATGTCGTCTATACTATACAATGACGTAAACATTAATCCCAAGTTCATGTTATATTAAATACTAAGGAGTTTCTGGCATTGTGTAATAAGATTAGCCAAAAAAAACTTACAAAATTTACTTTAAAAGTTTCTGCTCTAAGGAAGGTTTTTTCCCCGGAATGTTGATCATCTTGACCTGGATGACTGACTCCGAGAATAAGATGAGGAGAGGACCTGTATATGAAATCAAGACTGTCAGAAAATTAAATCAAATCAAATCAAATCCTTTAGCCATCTTTTGCTTGTTCATGGAATGTTCTTGTTTCTGACTGAGGTAGGAAGGAAGAATATACCTGGTAAGTTTTTGGTCCCTTCTTGAGTAAGTAGCCGGCAATATTCAGGTTATCTAGGAAAGTATCGATGTCTGGAACTCGTAGCCCGATCCTATCAGCTAAACTATACATTTCCTGTAGAGAAGTTTTTCTATTGTGTAAGAAACTGGTCACCATAACATGTCAGAAGCGAGTAAGAAAATTGTGGAGAATAGAAGTTGTTCATACAGAAACAGAGTAACAATCTTTTTGCTGCAACTCTGTTTGCTTATCAAGAGCACTTAAGAAGCGTCTTGCCTCCTTTTGTTGACTCATTCCTCCACTCCGACCAAAATCCACAACCCCGTGTTCATCTACGAACTTATCATACAAAGATTCTTTCATTATTTCAACCACATCCTGTAAAAGCAAATCCAAGTACAGAAGTGTCAAGACATATTTAGCCAGAAGCAAAATATACATTATCCAAGCTTACATCACAACCATGCAGCTTTATATCAAAAATTTCAAGCTACTGTAGCTACTTACCCTATTCAACAGAAAAGAGCAGAGGAAATAATACGTTTCTGCATGTATGGTATGGATGCTAATTGAGTGTATGGTCAAACAAATGCATGTATGCTACAAGGAATTCATGTTCTGGCTTACCATTGCGTCTTGGACTGTTATATCTTCCCTTAAGTCAACCCGAGCCCTAGCTTGCGCAAGCCTGACCAAACTTTCCAGTTGTCTTGCTGTTATTGGTGTGCTGTCAGCGGATGTGTTATGGTCTCTCAGTTTCAAGTAAAACTTTTGTATGATCTCTCCAGCTGCCTTAGACATCCTGAATAGACAAAGAGATGTTACCCATAATGCCTAATAAGGTGAGCATTTAATAAATGCAGCTGGGAGACGGGTCATATTACTTAGGGTTGACGAAAGTCCTTGCATAAGCAACATATTTCCTAAGCAGTTGGCCAGGAATGGGAGTAAAGTCATCATCTTTCTTAGGGTCTAACCGCAGTCTTGAGAGTATAGAACCCTCTTTCGCATGCACATTTGCAGAACCTGATGCTGCATTTGATATCAAACGAGAAGTCAAGAATTGTTAATTAATACAGTTATGTCTATACAAGGTAGATCTGACAACCAAAAGAATCTGGACCTGTCTTGAACTTCTTTAATGCAGGTGATGCTTCTCCACCTCCAGAATGAAGCTACCAGAGGAAAGAAAAATTGAAGGTAAGATCTTATATTAATGGCTTTGAATTAAGTTTACCAATTCATAGAGCCAATAAAGTGTTTTCCAGAAACAAAAATACATCTTCTATTTTCCAAGCATTTTATCTAAGGTTAGAATGCGGCGACTTTCAGATATGCCTAGTGCAGTGTAGCTTCACAGATTTTTGTCTATCAACGGGATCTAGCTACATGTATACTAATATCTCTTTGAGGCATGTTCCACAACAATAATCTCAGATGGAGATGCTCACCGACATAATATGCTCTGACACTTGCTTGTCGAGTAACTCATCAGGTTTGTCAAGTAATATGAAAACCAAATCAAACCGCGAAAGAAGCGCAGCACTCATCTTTAAGTTCTCGTTTACAGTTTTTGCACGGCTGAAATGAGATCATGAATATGATCGTAAGTATCAAGAAAATATGATGTTTTGGTTTTCTTTTCTCATCCAGTCTTAAAGATTAAAAGATGCAGGGATATTCTGCACTGAAGACTGTCACAGCTATGATTTAAAGACCCACACAATTATGAGATGGCATATTAATAAAATTACTTGTAGTGGCCACCAACAGGATTTGCTGCTGCTATAACCGAAGTCCGAGCTGATAGACTAGCCACAAGCCCAGCCTTTGCAACAGAGACACATTGTTGTTCCATTGCTTCGAGCAAAGCCTATGAAAATGTGATGCAAGTTAACGATAAAACAACGTAAGCATCAGAAGTAATGACATTGTTCATAAGACAAAACCTGATGCTCGTTGGTCATTTTATCGAATTCGTCAATGCAGCAAACCCCGCCATCTGCAAGTACCATGGCACCTGCTCATAGGGTAGCACTAGGTTAACAAAGACGAGGATTTCTCTTTCTACAACTTTTCACTAGTGTAAAGTTCTTCAATAAAAACACTGTCCTACTACTATCAAATATTGTTGAAGACTTGAAGCTCAGACTGTTGAATGTACTATATCATTATCTTGAATAAAGACTTTAGATTGCTGCTTACCGATCCCCCATTCTAGCTATACTATAGATATCATAACATCTACAGAGAAATGACAATAGTTGAAACCTACAAGGCATGCCTCACCCACTAATATCAAATAGGGTAAATATATTAGCACCTCTGACGCAACTAGGCTGACTTTAGGCTAAGTATTAAGTAAAACTATCAATCAACAGCATGACTCAAACCCATATCTGGAGCAGTAGAATCATATGGCATATACTGAAGTTTATACTTGCTATATAAATCGGAGGAAGGAGTTACCAGCCTCAAACGCATAGTCATTTGTCATGGAATCTTTCACTACAGCAACGGTGAGCCCTGCTTTAGTCGTCGCATTACCACATACATAAATGCCACGAGGGGAGATGGCCGATGCTGCTTGCAAGAGCTGACTTTTTCCCAATCCAGGATCACCTATTAGCGCATTGAAATCATCAATTAAATTTTGGTGCATCAGTTTCAAGCTAGTAACAAATAAGCTTCCCTCAGTCCATGTACTCTCTATACTTATGCCATTAAACTAAATTCGATTAAAAATCTTACCAACAATTATGACATGAATGTCTCCTCTGACTGGAACTTTGTTCCGATCCATCGAATGCTTCCTTACACCTCCAAACAGGGACAGTGTTATCCCAGCTGTGGATATGACAAGGAACATACAGACGGCAGAAGTATCATGTTATTCAATGCTTCTAATAATAATTATTAGGCCTTCCACAATGATTTCCCAGGGAAACTTGTTATAAACAGAAGTACTCCACCTTTGACAATTTCATGGCCATAAATAGATGGGCAAACTGAATGAAGTATGCGACGGAATGTATCGGAACCATATTCTTCGTTGAACTTAACAATAAATTCCAAGTCTCTCTGTGAGAATGAATATAAATCACCAGCATCAGCAGACTGGACACCACTACGGGAGTCCTCTGAGTTCTCAAATGCAGACTGCTTCTTAGAGTTTTTAACCGAAACTGCCTCTATAAACAAATAGTAGAAGCCTTGATTCTTGGACTTCGATTTCCCTGGAACATTAGCATTTTAAAAGTTTGTGAAGATTGAGTACGGCTTAGCATATTAAATCAATTTCTAGCTATTATACAATTAACTATAGCAAACATGTTTTCTCTTACAAACTATGTAAAGAACCATAAGAGTAAGAGAATCAAGACCTCCCCCAATATCCATGTAATTGTTAATTACACCAATAATCCCTGTAACAGTCACCACATCACCAGGGATACATGTGTCCACAAGGTCTTCCATCAGCTCACATTCTACAGTTCGGGGTACCCGTCCTTCTTCATGGTCTTCAGGCTTTTGTAACTCTTGCACCCTAACAAAACAGTTGGACAGCTGATTAACAATGACAAGATACATTAAGTAGCAAAAATGAAGAACACAAAATCATATGACGCAAATAGAAGCACACCTGATTTTCTGAAAATCAATGGTCTGAGCGGAGGATCGAACTGGAGTAAACATCTTGGACTTACATCCATGGGTGTCACAATTTTGTGGAGGTGAAAACTTCCCATCAGTAAATTCCCGGGTTATGCTAGTTTTACACTTTACACAGTCAAAAGCCATCTGTGTGACAAGAGGCTTCACAGTACTAACTTTAACAACAGTCCCATGAATTGTTACAAGCTTACCTGCAATTACACAGAGGTCACTCATTCTTTTGTCTCACTAAAGGGTTTATTTATTCAGCGGAGTGAGACAGAGGTCTACCAATATATGCCGCTCTCAAGTTTTTCAGAGAGATTGAAGATTCAGGATAATTATGCAGACGAATATTGATCTTCATAACATCATCAAAGCCATTAGTCTCCCATTGACTTAAGAGAACCTGTAAAAGATGTGAAGTAAGTACTCATCTCATACCATCCAAGGAGAATTTAAGACCCTACCTTGTGAACTGCAGCATTCATACATGGTATTACTCCTTTGGGATTATCCTCCAAATTAATAAAAAAATTCTCGATATCGCATAACTTCTTGAATTGTTGAAGATCAAGCGCTAAAGAGAACGAACCACCACCTTCTTCACTCACCTGCTTTTATCCATCAAGTCATGAAACAAACTTATGAACTGTATATTTAGATACTAATAACAGCTAATTGACGCATATATAAGTTACTTAATCATTCTCCATCTACCCTAAATCGTACAAACTAGGAGTAAAACGAAATCTAGAGTCCAATTTCTGCAAACTCGAGAAAATTCACCAGAAACTTTGATTTAAGAAAGTCTAGACGAAACAATAACCTAATCATTTCGGAATTATATACCTGAGAAACTAAGTCTCTACCACTCGGCGAAGAGAATACACGGATAAGCTCCGCCGTGAGCATCAACTTCTCCTCATCGATGCACGAGTTCTCGTTGTCTCTGAAATACACAGCTAATATCTTCGCGATATCGATCGAATCAACGCCGATTGATCCACGGCGTCTTGACGCCATGCTTGACTGCCCGCTTCCGTCGTCTCCGTATACACCCATCACCGCGTAAACCACCGTTACCTCTCCTCGCTTCTGTGTTAATTAGTTTTAGGCGGGAAATAAAAGTTAATGGGCTTTTTCTTCCTTAATGGGTTTTGTTAATGGGCCTATTTATTGAACCCTAATTGATTGATTATCTGCCACGTGGACACTTTCTCTTTTGTAGATAACCAAAAAAAGAACTAAAACGAGAAACAAGCTTACCTTAAAGAATGTTAATTAGTTTTAGGCGGGAAATAAAAGTTATTGGGCTTTTCCTTCCTTAATGGGTTTTTATAAATGGGCCTATTTATTGAAACCTAAACCCATTAATTGATTATCCTCCACGTAGACACTACCTCTCTTGTATATAACAAAAAAAAAAAACTAAAACGAGAAACAAAACTTCCACCGCCGAGATAGCGCCGTCTTCACAACCGTCACCGAAAGGTAATTACCATCTCGTGTAAATTCGTTAAACCCTAGCTTCTACGCTTAAACCCTAATTCATTCTCTTGTGTCTATTCTGTAGTGAATTAATTTTTGTAGATCAATGAGTACTCTAATTGAAACACCGGAGACACTCGGAAAGCGTAAAGTAACCGAAAGCTCAAAACTTTCCGATGAGACTCCGACAACAAAGCGTAGAAGCAGCCAAAAGCGAGCTTGTGTACACGAAGTCGCTGTACCCAACGACTACACACCAACGAAAGAGGAAACCATTCACGGAACCCTAGATAACCCCGTGTACAACGGAGACATGGCCAAAACCTATCCTTTCACTCTCGACCCGTTCCAGAGCATCTCCGTAGCGTGCTTAGAGAGGAAAGAATCGATTTTGGTCTCTGCACATACCTCAGCTGGTAAAACAGCTGTTGCGGAGTACGCGATTGCGATGGCGTTTAGGGATAAGCAGAGGGTGATTTACACGTCTCCTTTGAAGGCGTTGAGTAATCAGAAGTTTAGAGAGTTGCAGCATGAGTTTAAGGATGTGGGTTTGATGACTGGTGATGTTACGATCTCTCCTAATGCTAGTTGTTTGGTGATGACGACGGAGATTCTTAGGGCGATGCTTTATAGAGGGTCGGAGGTTTTGAAGGAGGTTGCTTGGGTTGTTTTTGATGAGATTCATTATATGAAGGATAGGGAGAGAGGGGTTGTTTGGGAGGAGAGTATTATTTTCTTGCCTCCTGCTATTAAGATGGTTTTTTTGTCGGCCACGATGTCGAATGCTACTGAGTTTGCGGAGTGGATTTGTTATTTGCATAAGCAGCCGTGTCATGTTGTGTATACGGATTTTAGGCCTACGCCTCTGCAGCATTATGCTTTTCCTATGGGTGGGAGTGGGTTGTACCTTGTTGTTGATGAGAATGAGCAGTTTCGTGAGGCTAATTTTATTAAGATGCATGATACTTTCCCGAAACCAAAATCTAGTGATGGAAAAAGGAGTGCGAATGGCAAATCAGGTGGTAGGGGTGGTAAAGGTGGTGGTGGTGGTGGCCGTGGTGGCGACTCTGGTGATTCTGATGTTTACAAAATTGTAAAGGTATGATCTTATTTATTGTTTATCATGTCCTATGTTGCTGCTTGAGGTGCCTTGTTCTCCTATCAAAGCATTGCAGTCTATGTTCTTCTTTAATGTTTCAAGTTTATGTACTATGATAGACTTGTAGGTATCATCAACGCAGTGGAATACGCATCCTGTAGCCTGTAGATTTGTTAGTTAACTCTTATCTATGTTTGCAGATGATCATGGAGAGAAAATTTCAACCAGTCATCATCTTCAGCTTCAGTAGAAGGGAATGTGAAAATCATGCGTTGTCAATGTCAAAACTTGATTTTAATACAGAAGAAGAGAAGGAGACTGTGGAACTAATATTTAATAATGCTATTCAGTGCCTGAATGAGGAGGATAGATCTTTATCTGCCATTGAAATGATGTTGCCACTGCTCCAACGTGGTATTGCTGTCCATCATTCTGGTCTTCTTCCTGTCCTCAAGGAATTAGTGGAAATTCTTTTTCAGGAAGGACTTGTTAAAGCGCTTTTTGCCACAGAAACTGTAAGATATTCTATAGTTAGCTTTTGTCTTTTCAATTGTGTAACTTATGGTAAACTCTATGTTGTGATAGTTTATGATTATTTCTTAAACGGGGCTTTTGTATCAGTTTGCTATGGGTTTAAACATGCCTGCAAAAACTGTAGTGTTTACTGCTGTTAAGAAGTGGGATGGTGACAGCCATCGTTTCATTGGGTCTGGTGAATACATCCAGGTGGGTTGTAGTTTGTTGATGCTAGTGGTGAATGTGACGAAGTGGCTACAAATGATATTGTAGTAACTGTCTGTTTATATTGGATGCTTGCAGATGAGCGGCAGAGCTGGACGCCGTGGAAAGGACGAACGTGGCATCTGCATTATTATGATTGATGAACAGGTAATTTTGGGGAAGTATTAAAACGATTTATCTCTGCCTATTATAGTGTTGTATGACATATGCACCAAATAAGTGTAGCCTGTTTCCTGTCTTGGAAGAGGATTGATTCTAGATAAATCTCTTAGATTTGTTTCTGGTGTTATTCAACAGATGGAAATGCCTGTACTTAAGGAGATGGTGTTGGGCAAACCAGCCCCTTTGCTTAGTACTTTTAGGTTGAGTTACTACACAATTTTGAATTTATTGAGTCGTGCCGAAGGACAATTTACAGCTGAGCATGTTATAAAGCACTCGTTCCACCAATTCCAGTATGAAAAGGTAGCTTTCGGATGTTCTTCCCCTTTCTCTTTCTAATTTTTTATCCAAACTCCTAATTAAACGTTGTTGTTATTATAACCTCAGGCTTTACCGGATATTGAGAATAAGGTGACCAAACTTGAAGAGGAAGCTGCCATCCTTGATGCTTCTGGAAAGGTGCTCTACTCTTTCATATTTCACGTCTGTGATTTGTGCCCGTTCTTACTTGTTAAGTTATTTTCAGGCGGAGGTTGCTGAGTACCATAAGCTAAAACTTGACATAGCTCCACTGGAAAAGAAACTTATGTCAGAAATAATAAGGCCTGAAAGAGTGCTTTGTTTTCTTGATACCGGACGGCTGGTAAGTTCTTTTTCCAAAGCTAATTAATCAGTGGATAGTACCTTATTGTTTTATAGAACAGAAGCTTCTCATAACTTACTTGGGCAAGTGTTTATGTGCAGGTTAAGATACGAGAAGGTGGAACAGACTGGGGCTGGGGAGTCGTAGTTAATGTTGTTAAAAAAACTTCCGTTGGAACCTCTTCACAAGGTGGCGGATATATAGTGGATACTCTACTTCATTGCTCCACTGGTGTTAGCGAGAATGGTGCAAAGCCAAAGCCGTGTCCTCCCCGTCCTGGGGAAAAGGGTGAGATGCATGTGGTGAGTTCACTTTCATTTTGACTGTCACTAGACTTGCTTCTTATTCTATTCATGTTAGTAGTTGAGTTTTGAAGAATTGTGCTTTTGCGTTTTCAGGTTCCTGTTCAGCTACCATTAATTACTGCTTTGAGTAGACTAAGGATATCAGTTCCGTCTGATCTTCGGCCACTAGAAGCAAGACAAAGCATACTACTTGCAGTACAGGAGTTGTCGAGTCGCTTCCCTTTAGGGTTCCCAAAACTTCATCCAGTCAAGGTTTCTCTTTAAGCTCTTTGAGTAGTGCTATAAAATGCTTTCCGCAGATATTTAACCTGCTGCCACTTTGCATAAATCAGATGCTTGCTCGGTTCTTATCGAAAACGAATTATATGTTAACTTTCTCAGTGTTTTTAGAGTTAGTACATATGGACTCATCAATCTCGTCTTCCATACAGTATCTTCAATGTTTGAACTACTAAATTATCATAAATGAGGATTCAGGATCTCATTGTATCTAATATAATCTACAGGACATGAATATTCAAGATACAGAGATAGTGGAGCTGGTCAGCCAAATTGAAGAAGTTGAGCAGAAGTTACTTGCTCATCCGATGCACAAGGTCTTGCTAACATTCACTATTCCGTTAGCTTGTCATTTTGAATCTGAATTTAGAGAAATTCTGAGATAGCATACGAAGAATTCAAGGACTTTGTCTATTGTCTCGTGTTTTCTGTGTTGCAGTCTGAAGATGATCAGCAAATCAAGAGTTTCCAGAGGAAAGCGGAAGTGAATTATGAGATTCAGCAGTTCAAATCGAAAATGCGTGATTCTCAGGTATATCATCACTTACTTGCTCATCCATGAATAAATCAAGTGGGGTCTGTTATAGTTTGAGGATATTATCATCCCTCTAATGCTTTACCTCATATTGTTTATCTCTACAGCTTCAAAAATTTAGAGATGAGCTTAGAAACCGTTCTCGGGTATTAAAGAGACTTGGACACATTGATGCTGATGGTGTCGTCCAGTTAAAGGGACGAGCTGCCTGCTTGATAGACACAGGGGATGAACTGCTTGTCACTGAACTTATGTTTAATGGTACGACAACTTATTTAATTACCCTATTTTAAGTTTAGGCCTTTCTGGTGACCGAGGCAATGATTTTTTGGTTGAATAACACCATATATATCTACTCAGGTACTTTTAATGATCTGGATCATCACCAAGTAGCTGCCCTAGCAAGCTGTTTCATTCCTGTAGATAAATCAAATGAAAAGGTAGAACTAAGAAATGAACTTAACAGACCGTTGCAGCAGCTCCAAGAGAATGCAAGGAGAATTGCAGAGGTAAATTGATTTCCCATCTGAAAGTTAGTTTATTATTTATTTACTACATGTACATTTTTCTTTGTTTTATAATCTCAATTTTTTCTCTGTGGTTACCAGATACAACATGAATGCAAACTGGAAATTGACGTTGAAGAGTATGTAGAATCCACCATCAGGGAAGGCCTGATGGACGTCATCTACTGTTGGTCAACGGTTAGTATTACTTGATCTCAGAGTTGCTTATACTTTTTTTTGATGGACATGTCATGTACAACGTTGAGAATATTGCCTCCGCTTAGAATTATGAATATGCTGACATATACAGCTTAACATTTGATATTTTCGATTGTTTCTCTTTGGAAGGGTTCGACCTTTGCAGAGATTATGAATAAGACTGACATATTCGAGGGGAGTATCATTAGGAGCGCTAGAAGGCTCGACGAGTTTCTGAACCAGGTAAGTTATCAAAACTCTTATGTCCCCAGCTCTGCAGTTTTACATGTTTGTGAAACATCTAGGAAATCTCATGCCATTTTGATTGGTGATTTATGTTGTTCAGCTTCGAGCTGCAGCGGAAGCAGTTGGAGAGAACAATTTGGCGGTTAAGTTTGCAGCTGCTAGCGAGAGCTTGCGAAGAGGCATTATGTTTGCGAATTCACTTTATTTATAAGAAGTATTTTGTAGCAGTATCTCGCTTAATTCCGTAGCCATGGAGACATGTCGATACTTGACTTCACTGAGAAAATGGTTGTTTGTACTTTCCTTCTATACTCCTCACTGAACCTTAAAATCACGGTATCTTTTGGTTTATCAACAAGTTAGATGGTGTTGAAATTTTCCGATTAATGTTCTAAATGAAATAAAAGTGATTATGGAGTAAAAATGTTTCAATTCTAGTTATTTCTAACTTCATAATGGAGTAGTGGACAAAGAAAAAATTTATGAAATAAAAAATAGAGTGAAGTTTAAGCATTTTTTACTTCATAATCATTTTTACTCTATTTTAATGTAAAAAATGGAGTTGGGTTAGAGATGTTCCAGACCAATTTGAGACCTCAGTTGAGGTGATGACACAAGTAATATGAGAGACTCTAGCTCCTAGATCATGAGAACAATGGGCACAGCAATGGACAAGTGTTTAATACCTCAGCTGCATCAGATGAAGCAAAGAAGTATTTCAAAAAAAGGAAGTTATTTAGTAACATATTTCGGTGATTGCTCATTTTGCTTGGAACGATGCATTAAAGCTAAAGCTTTTTCGTCAACATTTCTCCCAAATGTCAAAACAGAGTACCTCCCTGATTTTCTCGATGCTGTTGATTTTGCTTTAGATGAGGTATCAAGAAGGATAGAGTTTGGTTTAGCTTGTTCTTCAAGCAGCATACACGGTGGAGACAAGGTCTCAAGTGCAAGCTTCTTTGAACCTACAAACATTGTGGACTATGTGAAACATCTAACATGCTCTCCCTTCTCTGTTTCTAATTCTACTACACTTTTCAACCTCAGGCTTCTTGAAAGGTGTTACAACTCTAGGGTTTTGGATCGAAACACCTTTTGAGTCAAGTCATGAAGTTTTGGAAATGTTTAAATTTAATTTGTAAAATTTAAGATAAATATAATGGATTTAAGCTAAATTTTGATGGGATGGGAATTTTTATATTATTTTTGAGTCCTAAATACCCAAACTTATTTTTAAAAAAAATACAATATATGTTTTTTGATTGAAAGCTAATAGATATTTGGAAAGAAAAACAAATAAAGTTTTAGATACTCTTATTAAAACTAGAGTACTGTTTTAGAGTTGTTTGAAAACAGAGATAGTTTTAATAATATAGATTGTTTGGAAATATGAATAGCAGATTGAATACTTCTTTTATTTACACATTTAGCTATTGCATTTACAATAAATTAAGTATTTTCCTTTTGTATTTTTTTATTTACAGATTATGCCACTCTATCTAAAATCAATTAAAATTAATTAATTACAATGGTTGTTGTTTTTTTGTGGTAAAAATAAAAACACAAACTGAAATATATGTATATATATATATATTGTATAAATCCATTTTAAATATAGTATTACCTTATTTAGTTTACTAAAATATAAAAATTCTGCGAGTTCAATTTCAAGAAAAGAATATCATAAAATTAGTAATAATTCAGAAAAAAAAAAAAAATTAGTATGTTATTTCATTTAAAATAAATTACCAAAAATTAAGTTAATATATGAATAGTAAAATTACATCAAATTGTATCAAGTTATAAAATTTTAAAGAGAATATTTTATAAAAATAAAAAAAATTATTAAATATCTATATTATATTCTATATGCAGATTACAAAATAAAAAAAAATATACATATGAATTTTATAAAACTAGAGATTTATGAATTTTAAGTTAAACACAAATCAAATCAAACAGATTGTGGCCCACAAAATGTTCATTTACTGCCTGCCATAGCTCGTCGTTTTCTTCTTTCAGTCTTCAAGAAAAACGATCAAGTAACTTTTTTGCTCGCTGTGGTCTGGCTTTAATTTAAAGGTTGTCACTTTAGTCAAGCTTTTATCGCATCCATATGGCTGAGATTGAAACTTGGTTTGAGTAGTGTCTTAGTATACATTAGGTTTTGATCTTAGTGTGTTCTTTTTAGCTTTTTTTGTGGCTCCCTAAGACACATTTGCTTTGAGTAGTGTCTTAGTATACATTAGGTTTTGATTTTTAAAAGTTGAATGTATCTCTCTGCATCATTATTGATGCAATCTTCGTGGCTAACTTGCAATTTTTAGGACGCTGAGAAATAAATTACCGATTTGCTAAATTATACTCTCTTTTATTAAATGTTTTCATCTTATTACATGATACCGTCGAGTAATATCAAAAGTAAGTATGACTTCAGGTTAACAACAATTCTCAGCGAAAAGCGAACAGTTTTTTTTTTGGAATTAGAGAAATTCAAGGACTTTATCAATAATTTATTGTCTCTGTTGGAATAAACTTGAAGTTACAAGAGTAAGAATAAAAGAATAGGGTATGTGGCATTGGCTCGTGAATCAGAAGTGGACACTGACTCTCCTCGCAGTGTTGCTACTGAAGAAGGGCCAATTATACTCAACGTGGAGACTCAGGTCAGTACTTCTAATCATATTATTTTCAATTGGGTTTAAATCTAGTATGACAAATGGTCTTAACTTAAGTTTTAAGTAGCTTAGTGATCTTGATTCAATTTATAGGACACTGAGATTGCCAACGTTTCGGTTGACATGGAAGTGGACACATCTATCCTCAACGTGGCTCCAGTCAACGTGGAGCCAGTCCATGCTGATTTGGTCGTTTATAAAACTATGCTGAGCCAGTCCATGCTGATTTGGTCGTTTATAAAACTATGTTGAGCCAGTCCATGTTATTATTATTACCAACTATATTATTACCACCCAAGCCACCGATTAGGGCATCCAATTAATAAGGCATACTTTTGAAATTTTTTATTTGTATTCATAAATATATAGATTTTTAAGATAAATATTACTTATTGAAAATTATTAGTCAGTGTACCAAATCTAATACTCTCTGATGCGAGTGCAACTAATGCTTCTTTAATTTGTTTAGTTATTTCTCAATCCGTATAACATATTTATACACAAAAACTATATAAACAACACTAATATTTTTACGAATATTACTATTGTTATCAAATAAATATAAGTTATGTTTATATATAAACTTTAATAAAATCCTATAAAATATAAGTAAAAATTAGTAAAAATATAAGTAAAAATTAGTAAAAATATAAGTAAAATTATATAAGTAAACTATTATTGTTTAAATGTGAGATTTTGTATTAACAATTTATTTTAATAAATTATGATTGATTATGATCAAATTGTTGGTAATAATATTAACAAATATTGTTATACAATTAACTTTATAAAACTATCTTTAATAATTATTAATGCAGTTGAACTCGTAAAAAAATAATGTGATCATTTATATTATATATATATATATATATATTTATATATGATCATTAAAAAAATGAAAAAAATATATCGTTAAAAGTTCGCTTAGGGCATCTAAATGTGTTAGACCGACACTAGTCGTATGCAGTGACCGTCGTGACTCGTGAGCTTGCGCAGGGCTTCGATCCCGACTTCAGTGACCACCAACAAAGCAATCTCTAGGTGTTGGAGTCTCGTGCAAGCACTCACAACAGCTTACACTCCAGCATCATCAAAATTAGGGCAGTTTTTCAAAAGAAACACTCTTAACATTAATAGAAAGCGAAACTTGTATTATAGTCAAACAGTTCAACTCATATTTATTATTACCACAAGATGGATAAACTCTAGCCCTCGACAGTCGACACCAGACGCTTTCGCATGGGCTTTGTTATCTGTGAAATTTCAGTAATCACCACAGGTACACAAGTTTCATACAAAAAATCATCTCATCATCAAATACTAAGATGGAATTATCACAAAATAAACCTAATCAAAAGCCATGAGATACATAAGCCGGATCAAAACCCGAGCCATAAGCCCGACATTCCCGGAAACGAAAAAACCACATAAAAACATAACACTTGGAACCACAACCCTTCACCTAGAATCAGCTCAACCAAAATAGCACTCATCTAATACACTCGTGCAGCTAGAACATGAAAACCATCTTCTTAACAATCCAAAGGAGCCGGAAGCTAGCGTCAAATCTAGAGATACAACTGCAAAAGAGAAACCACCAAGAAGTAGAACAACACCACCCTCCAAACTGAGTAGCTGAATCCACAAGATGAGAACAAAAATCTCCGGGCTTGAAGAGAAACCCCTTACTCAAACCGGAACCTTTCAAAAAAAGAGCAGAACTGTGTCGCATAGAAGAACTTGAAACATCAAAGCAAATACCACTGAAGATAAAGATGGCACGACAGGAACCGGAGACACCAACAAAGATGAGAACAAGACTCCAAAACAGATGGAGAGGAGAATAAACTTTTAACCAAACGACACCAAGGTAACGTCACCAAACCAGCGAGACCAGATTTAACTCCAAGCGCTTAAGGTCTGCGTTAGAAGCCTGAGTGTTCAGGTACATTTTGTTCTCATCTACATATCTTATCACCAAGTTTCTCATTGACCAAAAAAACTGAGCTAAACATACATTCGGATACTTGCCTTGAATTCCTTTGCGCAGTGGTCAAACTAACATCGTCAAACATCTCTTGGTGTATTCTCAGATGATGAATAAGACATGAACCCAAGATCTCTCGGTCTGATGGAGCCAGCATAACCAAACTGATAACGAGGTCAGTAGGTCGATCATTGATTGCGGTGAAGAGTACCTATGGAGTCAATATATATCCATGTTTAGCTACAGTAACAAAGTTACATAATCCTCCAAAAAAAAACATCATCCTCCATCTTGCACCACCGGAATGATCCAAATCTCTGAAGGTTTGTACTTCAAATCATGCCAAAGAGGTGTTATACGCAGACAGGCTAGGCTTAACCTAGTTGAGTTATCTTCCAAATTCACCATAAGAATCCCAGACCATCAGAATTCTGCAGTCATGCCTTGTCTAGAGTTTTAAGACTGTAAAGTCTAGTCTCAGATTGTGAACTTCTAAATCTCTTTTGTATTTTCTCAAGCTGTTAGTGTGTCACTGTTGATCAGACTGCTTGACCAACATTTAAATTTCTAATTGCTTAATTTTATAGATGCATTTTTGTAATATGGCCATTCAAAATTTGTAATATGGCAATTCCTGAAGGTTCGTTGGGATGTACCATCAACAAATAAAATCAAGAAGGCTATAACATTTTGACATGACATTAACTCACCAAAAGCTTATAGAAAGTTGAAGACACATTGTCAAATCCAGAAAACATGATGCTTATACCGGAACATTCAAAACTAATAGAGTCATATAATGTCTAGCGATGCAACAGTGAGTTTTTATGGAAATGATCATATGCCAACCAACTACTAAAACATTTAACTTAAATCTACTCGCCAGGAACTTGAACGCCTTGCTTCAGCTTCTCTTTCTTCATCTTCTTCTTGGAAACTGGCTTCTTCTTCCTCTGAGGCAAATTCTTCTGAGCGTATGTGTAGAGGATGAAGTTTCCTACAAGGAACGTCACTAGCAACCCTCCAATCACAAGAAGGACGATCAGTCCCGGGTTCAACCCTTTGCTCTCGATTTTTCCCTGTTTCAGTGAGTTTTGTTTAGCAACTTAGTAATGATATACAGAGTCAAGAAAAAAAACACAAGAAAGCAAAAGGACATAACACAAAACAGATCATTATTCTTGTGTCACGATGTAGGAACATCCTAACTAGCTTCTCAATAATATTTGTCAATTTCATTTCAACCAATTAGAGTAACACCTGCGAATAACTTTACTCTTGTACTTATCAAGATCTCGGAAAGTTAACATGGACTTGAACATAATTATAACATACAAATGTGACAACAAAAAATCAGATTTTTTTGGCAAGATCAGTATGAGAACTCAAGAGTCATGAACTTTCTCAAAAAGTTGAACCAAACCAAAGACAAAACTTCACCGGATATCTATAACGATACTAGATTTAATGGAAATTAATCATCGTTTAAGAAGTGTAACAATCATAATGAAATGGACCCAAAATGCTGGCAAAAACATCATCATGCACTAACCAAGAAGATCAGAACCAAAGCACCACAGAAGATTCTCATGCATTACAAACCAGACATGTGAGAGAATCATAAGATTATAGGAAAGCAGAATCTCGATAGAGAGAAATGCAGATCTAGTGATTCATCATCATCGTGAGCTAACGAGAGATTTGATCTAAGTGTTCGAACAAGGAAACATAAGTAGACAAAGAAATTCAAAGAGAGAAGGGATTAGATCTTACAGAGAATTCATCAGCCATTGCTGCGTTTCGAAGCTTCGAGAGATCAACACCAGTCGTCGGAGACAGTTGTAAAGACTTAAATTTTGTCTAAGAAAGTAGAGAGACCACCTCTCTAGTCCACGGGATCAGTTTGGTAATAAATTTCATTTTTTTTTCAATTTAGGGTTCGTATTTTACTTCATATACCAACCAAGTCCCTTGATAAACAAATAACCCTCAAGATTTGAATACGAACTAGGGTGATGATTGGTAAGTGATTTAGAAATTTTAAACACAAATCTCTTTCCAAAATTATGTTTTAATTTTGTTAAAAATTAAACATTTTTCTTTTTCATTTGTGTTTCGCCTTGGAAAAAAAAATCTATAACATTGATAATTTGATATATTGGATTTATAAAATTTACAACTGAATCATTAAATCTTTTCAGATTGACAATCAATTCTTTTGATAAATTTCTTTTAATTTCAATTTAGGGAATGTATTTTACTTAATCTATCAATTAAGTCCTTTGATAAACAACGATTCGGACTTTAATCTCTAATAGGACATGACCCTCAAAATTATTCTCTTACAACCTAAACTAATCTATATGACCCTAATAGATGGTAAATTACCATAAGGCCATTAATGAATCTTTTATCTCAACCATTAGATCAAAAAGATGAGAACCACATGATTTGTTTCTTTCTTCTCTCCTTTTCACGTGAAACTCATTCTTCTTTTCTTCTTCTTCCTCTTATATTCATGTCAACAACAAAACCTTAATCTTTTCAATTCTTCTCTTTAATTCTTTACCAACCAATCTCTTCTTCATCAGATTTTTTTTTTCCAAAGGTTAGACGACGAGCAGCAAAACCATCGACAACAATTCGTGTATGTTTCTCAATAAATGGACTTGGATAATATTATGTCTCTCTTTTTTTTCTTTTTCTCATACGAAACGTACAACTAGTTAAACTGGTACAACCATTAACAATGTATACAACATGTATACTGGTACAACTAGTGTTACTGATTGTTCATACGAAACATACAACTAGGTCAACTAGTATATCTATTAGTAACATATGAAATAGGTCTACTGTTATAACACATAACAAGTAAAAAATGTATAACTAATATTACTATTATAAATGTTATATCGCGAGTAACATAAAAACAAATATAAGTGGTACAACTAGTATGAGTGTCATTAGTGCTCCGTAAATAATTAGTATAACTTGTACAACTACTAAGTGGTGATTTATTATGTTATTTCAGATAACTATGGATAATAATCTAAGTGTGGTGATATATTTTGATCATGTGGGTTGTTATTCGGATGTGCGAGATGAAGTACGATGAAATTAAATATATTGAAGTTAATGACTTAAATATACGTATTATAATGTCGTGGGGTTGGTTGCAAATGGTATTGTATTATTTCAAGACAACAACTACAAAGAAACCAGTTACATGAAATTATCATATTGTTTTAAGTCAATTAAATGAATCAAAGACGTGCCTTCTCCTTGGCAAAGAGAAATTTTAGAAAAGGGAAAGTGGTAACAAGGGAAATGTCAACAAAGAAAGTGATCAACAAGAAAAGTGACGAATGAGTCTTAATTATATGTTATGGAACCTTCTTATGTGTTGTGAAACTTATTCATGTAACATACCAATAATGTTTTTATGTTGTGATATTGGTATTACTCGTATAACTATATATTGTAATACTAGTACAACTAGTATACCTACTTTATAGATACCAGATAAGAAATACTGGTACAACTAGTACAACTTCTTCAATTAAGAAATTTTAAAATTCCATTTGGTTTTCCATATGAAAATAACCACAAACTAAACAAGTCGAAAGGTCATTAGAATGATCCATCATAATTATTTGAAGTTTTACCAATTTTTTTTCGTAATTATTACACTATCACATAAATTTCCATGATCGATATTATACTTTAAAGGTTTGTTTATTTGTTTAGTCACTATATTTTTGAAAAAGTATACACTGAATATGTTTTAACAAAATTAATGATTTAATAGTATGTGATTCTAGGTATTTAAATATATACAAGTAGTACAACTGAGTTATTTTAATATACTATTTGGTACAACTACATATTTCAAATTTTGGACGAAAATACAACTATGTACAAACTTGTACAACTCAAAACTCGGTACAACTATGTATATAATTGTACAACTAAAATACTGGTACAACTACATGTTAATAAATTTATCACATTTTGGTTGTTTACCATATTTTAGATGCGCAACTCTCTTTAAACATGATAGTTGTTCTTTCTTTTGTTTAGTTTTTTTTCTGTTAAATTGGTTTTACTATTTTTTTATAATTATTACACTATCTCATAAGTTTTCATGTTCCACCTTATTCTTTAAAGGTTTGTTTACTTGTTTGTCTACTATATTTTTAAAAAACCTATATTGAATGCATTTTAACAAAATCAATGATTCGATTATATGTGACATTAGATAGGTAAACATATAGAAGTACTACAACTGGGGTATATTTATTTTGTTATGTGGTACAACTAAGTTTTTCAATTTCATTGCCTAAATACAACTATGTACAAACTTGTACAACCCAAAATTTGGTATAACTATGTGTTATTAAAAGAACATAGTTGTAGCGGTTAAACCAATCATACATATTTTTCTCGTAGTTATACTAGTTCTACTAGTTATACCAATCATATTTATCTAGCTTTTTTGTCTTTTAGGCTTCCATTTTCTTGATGGATGTATATTTCTATTAATAACATTAAAATATTTTCCAAGTATGTGTATGCGTATATAAAATCGTATATAAAATCATTGGTATGCCACCTCTTCATATCAAAATATGTAAATTTTACTATGTTCTTATTGTATACATGCTTTATTTCATATTTTATTTTTATATCCATATAATTAAAATAGATGTTGGGGGTGAGAAGTGTTATGATAATCTGACATGACTTTGCTATTTGCAAAACATAAAAATAAAAAGCTATTTGAAATAAAATACAAAAATAAACTAATATTTGTATGTCATTTTAATATTGAAACATTGGTACTACTATCATAGTTAAACCAAGTGCACAAGCTAGACTATTATTGTTATAGTACAAACACCAAACATGAACCATATACATCACTTTAGAACTCGTGAGGGCTTATACCACGCATGAAATACTGGTACAACTTCTTCAATTAAGAAATTTTAAATTTTCATTTAGTTTTCTCTATGAATAAAAACAAATAGTCTGGACAAACTTGAAGGTACTTAGAATGTTCCATCCTAATTAAATTTCATGTGGGACAACTAAGTTTTTTAAATTTCATAGCCAAGTATATCGGTCATACATGATCCATTTTTCTCTTTGTTGTACTATTTGTACCAACTATACTGGTCATACATGATCCAGTTTTCTAATAATTTTTTGTCTTATATGCTTTTCTTCTTTTGATGGAAATACAACAAACCTTGGTATGCTATCTTTTCATATCGAAATATGAAAGTTTCACTATATTCTTCTTGTATATGTGTTATTGATCTATATTATATCATATTTTCATGTCTATATAAGAAAATGAACATAGAGGCGAGAAGATTACTACATGCCCAATGTTAAAACAACACAGCTCAAGTGATGACACAATTAAACTAGTAATACGACTACCGTACCTAAACCATTTGTACAACTTGGATTATTTTCGTAGTCCAAACATAAATGCATATGCATAATTTTCCGAACTCATAATGATTCTTACAATAGTACAACTAGTATAAATAGTACAATTTGTAAGCAAATTATTATCAAAATCAAATATTACTGAAAATAAATTATTCATGTATTTTGACACATGCAAGCAGAGAAGGTTAGATCAACATTTCTCATTGGTTCTATACCATCCAATTTTCTAGCATCATTCATATGCTGAAATAAAAACCAAATATCACCATATTAATTATAAAGTTGTACAAGTTATATGCATGTTAGTTGTACCAGTTATACGCATGTTAGTTGTACCAGTTATACGCGTTATACTCAATGTATTTGTACTAGTTATGTTTGCTTTAGTTGAACTAGTCATACTAGATCGGGTTGTACTAGTTATACTTGTTCGGGTTATACTAGTTGTACTAGTTTGAGTCGTACTAGTTGTACTAGTCTGAGTCATCCTAGTTGTACTAGTTTGAGTTATACTAGTTGTATCAGTGATACTCTGTGTTTTTCTTTGTCGTGAATCTTGTACGAAAATGATGAAATTTGACTTTAAACAAGATATAATTGATTAAATATGATTATGGGTTGATCGATTTGTGATAAGAAAAAGAAAAGTAGTGAACATTTGAAGTAAATTTTGGATTTTGTTTTAAGGTGAATCCATGGAGAAGAAAAAAGGAAGAAGAAGAAGAAGAAAATTTAGGTTAACAGTTGGGTATGGGTCGGATCATGGGTCGGATCTGGATATCAGTGGCATGGATCCGTAAATATGTTGAAGTCTTTAGGTTTTTTAGTTATTTTATCTATTTTTTGAATTAAATTTAAATAAAAAATAAATACAAATTAAAAAGGGGTCATTTTAGATTATGTGATACCCATGTGTGTCATAACAGACTTTGATCCCAACGATTCCCTTCATGTTCAAACAATTATTAGGGTCAATTTAAGATAACAAAAAATAAGGGTGGTTATTCATAAATAGAGAGACCACCTCTAGTCCACATGATTGATTTGGTAATAATATTTTTCATATTTTTCATTAGGACTCGTATATTACTTTGGGTATGAATGGTGACCAAGAAATAACTAAGAATAATTCATTCTATAACATTTCTTAAAAAAATCATCATTCACAATGAATAATTTTTTTTTTGTTTCTTCGTATTCTTTTTTTTTGTAGAGGAATATAGAACAAAAATTTTTATAAATATTTTTAATAATTTATACAAGTGAATTTAATATATTTAACTAAAAAATAGATAAAATTATCTAAAGTTATGATTTTAAATATATACATATATATATTCTTAATATAATTTAAAATTTTAAAAATATTCTCTGAATTATACTTAACTAAATCAAATTTATATTATATATTGGTCAAAATAATAAAATACATAATATTAATAAATTTCGTTTTTAAATACAGTTTAAAATTTAAAAAAAATTATCTACCAATCAATTCCTTTGAAATAACTATTGGGGTCAATTTAGATACAAAAACAAGTAAGAGTTGTGATTCATAAATATTCCTCCAGGCTGTTAAGTTTTTCTTCTTTCAAGCTCTTTCATCGCCGAACCAAACTTTTCGGACACAAACTAGAAAGTCTTCGAATCAGAGATTCTATCCTTCAGATCCGGAAGTTTCTTTGTGAGAGAAGATGACAGTGATCGACATTCTGACCAGAGTTGACACGATCTGCAAGAAATACGACAAGTACGATGTCGATAAACAGCGTGAAGCCAATATCTCCGGCGATGATGCTTTTGCTCGTCTCTACGGAGCTTTCGAGACTCAAATCGAGACAGCTCTCGAGGTAATCATCTCTCTTTTATATTTGGATTCAAAAGATGTCTGCTTTGTAATAGAATTGGGTTGTGTTTTATGGTTTGGTTTGGATTTGAGAATGTTTTTTGGTAAAGGAATAAACTTTTTTTTTATTTAATGTGATTTTGATTTTGCAGAAAGCTGAGCTTGTTACCAAGGAGAAGAATAGAGCTTCTGCTGTTGCGATGAACGCTGAGATCCGCAGGACTAAGGCTAGATTGGCTGAGGAAGTTCCTAAGTTGCAGAGACTTGCTGTGAAGAGGGTTAGCTTCCTTGTACCAGTAGCTTGGTTGAGCTTATATTATATGATTCTTGTTTTTTAGGATGATGATAAAATTAAAAGTATGAGTAGGATGATTATTATACCACTAGCTTGGTTGAGCTTATATTTTATATAAATGATTCTCGTTTTTAGGATGATGGTAAAATTAAAAGTATGTTTCTTGTCAATAAAGGATTGTGAATATAGCCGCATAATGTATGTTTTGTGGTAGTAACCATATTTAGATGGTAGTCCAATTCAATGACTGAGATTGACTAAGGGATTAATAACTTTGTGTGAACTCGGTGGAAATCTTATACATTTGTTTAGGTTAAGGGCTTAACAACCGAAGAGCTTGCTGCGAGAAATGATTTGGTACTTGCGCTTCCGGCTAGGATTGAAGCTATACCTGATGGGACAGCTGGTGGTCCTAAAAGCACTAGTGCTTGGGCTCCTTCTACTACAACTTCTCGTCCTGATATCAAGTTTGATTCAGGTGATTCTAAACCCACTAGCTTTGTTTCCTTACTAATAAGAATCGTTTATCTTATTGAACAAGATAACTAAGTCAACTTTATTGTGGATATTAGATGGGCGTTTTGATGATGATTACTTTCAAGAATCAAATGAATCCAGCCAGTTCAGACAGGAGTTTGAGATGCGGAGGATTAAACAGGCAAGTGGTGTTGCATTCTACACTTTTGTTTACTTAAGCTCTGGTGGTATGGTATCTATATGACTTTTGTCTATTTGGGTATTTATCAGGACCAAGGTCTGGACATGATCTCCGAAGGTTTAGATGCTTTGAAGAATATGGCATCTGATATGAACGAGGTGAGTAGGAGTTTCTTGAACTGCATCTCTCATAACAAACTTCCCTTATTGCAGTATTTGAGCTGATGATCCATGTCACGACACTGATACCTGCAGGAGCTGGATCGGCAAGTACCTCTGATGGATGAAATCGACTCAAAGGTAGAATACACCATCTATTTCCTTTCCTTTATTCTGAATTCATCAGTTGTATAATCTGAATAACTATCTGACCTCGCTTACAGGTGGACAGAGCAACCTCAGATCTTAAGAACACCAACGTTAGACTTAAAGATACTGTGAACCAGGTGATTTGAGTTGAACCTTTTTTCTCAAAATTCTCAGCCACATTGGCATGTTCTTGATTCCTAACATAGAATAAAACATGGCTTTTTTTTTACTGCAGCTGAGGTCAAGCAGGAACTTCTGCATCGATATCGTTTTGTTGTGTATTGTTCTGGGTATCGCTGCATACTTGTACAAGTAAGTTTCTTATACATTACATAAAAGAGACATAGTAGATACATTTAAAAAAACATGCTCTCTTTAACCAAACAAATCTTTGCTCTCCGCAGTGTACTGAAGTGATGAGATGAACAGGAAAGAACCATCACTACTCTCTCTTGACATCTGCTATTAAAGTTTCTTACCCGAGTCAATGTGTGTGTCTGAGTGTGTGTGTGTGCTTGTTTCTGGCGGTATTTGTGTGATATTTCTTCGAGAGTTTCTTCATGAGTGTCAAGACTGTTCAAGTTGTTTCTTCTATTGAGTTATCTCCATGTTGTTCATGCCCTTATTAAACTTACCAAATTTATGTAATTCTATTCATTCGTTGTGTCAAACTAGTCGTTTGCTATTGCCGAGTCCTCTTTGTGTATTAGAATGTTATGATAACTATTGAAAAGTGAAAAAAAAATGAAGGGCCAATAATCTTTTTATATTGGATCTCCATAAGCTTTTGTCTCAAATTTATTATTTGTACAAAGGAAAGCACCCTTTTAGAGCACACCAGACGATTCACACTCACATTCACACACAACAAAACTTTTAAATTCTTTCAGGTATCATTACTTAATGCACATGATCAATCTATTCTCACGTCCCTAATAGATCGAACTCCATCCACATGTTCCCTGCTACTAGAACATATGATCAGACCATTCAGGAGCTTTCGCTTCAGTTTCCTGATACAGAGATGCTCTGGTCTGTCTGAACTGGTGGTGGATCCTCCTGACTATTGCTTGGAGGTTCTTCAGCTGTTCTCTCCCTTCTCCTCCATTTTAAAAACTCAACTAGACCAGTTGTGCCAATCATGGTGAGTCCGAACCCAAGCATTGTGGCTCCGAGGATTGACACAATCGGCTGCAAGTGAACCTGCACACGTATATGGATTAGGAGATAGAACAAGAAGCAGAGTGTTTGAGAAAAAACTCTCACCAATTCAAAGAAAATGTGAGAGAAACAAACTATAAGACCGAACTGAACTGTGCCGTAAATCCAAACATATTGCTTCTCCACTGCACAATGATTGACCACAGTGATCAATAAAAATTTATGTCAACCGGTTTAGTGTAAGAGACTCTTACCCATTGTTGTTGAAATCATCGAGGCAAGAAGACCAAGAATACAAGAGAATGGTAATGATATCGCAATGGCGCTGGATTTCATTTTGGTAAGCTGCAAAATATTTTTAAAGACAAGAAGATGTTAGTACAGCTTGGTATAAAGAAGTGTATTAATTCAAAAAAACTCACTAAACCTTACCAGAAGCTGCTCGAGGAAACAGAAGTATGCAAGCATGCTTACAATAACAAGAACTGGAACATCCTGCCATATACTGAAACGGACCAGAGTACCAGTCACAAACATCCATAAACATCATATCCTTTTCAAGTGGTTTGTATTTTGACTTGCCTGTAGTGAGAAGTCTCGGTAGCCTCACCCTGAGAATCTTCCATGCGGAGAAGGGTCACAGGAAGATTCTGAACCTCTTGCTTACACACATCACATGTACTGTTTCCTTTAATGGTGAACCATTTGATAGTACATTCTTTATGTGCAAGAGCTAATTCACCTCTACACATACATTCCATCTTAAAAGCTTCTGAATCTTCTCCTAATTCAACAAGGCAGATTCTGCACATAGCTTCTTCCTCAGGAACATCTTCTCCTCCATCAACACTCGTGTCTGAAAAAACATCTTTCACTATTATAAAGTTACACGGATAAAGCTAAAAAATAAATAAAAATACAAATAACTAACCGTTACGTTTATAAAAATTTCTTGTTGGTGACATGTATGGAGTTGGAATCACTCGAAAAACACCTGATCGCCTTAGGCTTCCATCTTTGTTAAATGGTGGAACAGAGCGTGATCTGTGAAATGTCACTGGAGGTGCCTTCTTCTGTTGATGACAAAAACATTTAAAAATTGAATTCTAGTTAACTTATCTTACAAGCAAAATACATACTCTCTCTAACAGCACAATCCAGAGTATAATTCACATGGGAGACAAGAAGAATGATACTCACCAAGGAAGTAACAGGATCAACAACATATCTACCGTGAGTGGACCCAGGATTGGAGTGAACAATAGGGGTAATAGGCAAGGACTCAGTTTTGTTCCTTCTTGGAGTAAAAATATTAGAGAGAGTCCATGTGGATGATGATGACCTGTCTCTGTTTGTGGAAGCCAAGGCCAAACCAGCAGCTTTCTCGATATCAAATTCATTGATGTTTCTGATCTTGTTTTTGAAGTTTGGCTTTGGGATGAGATTCTTGAGGTTATTAGTGAAGTTTCTTGAAGAGGAAGGACTAAGGGATGCACTGATTCTAGGGCTGGAGAGAGTAGAGAAGTTGACTTTTTTGGCAATAGGGCTTGATGTTAAGGATGTGTTATAACTGAATAGATCATCTCCAGTGTCTTCAGGTGTTGTTGATGATAACATATCCAACACACGAAGGTTTCTTCTTCTTGATAGCTCTTCTTCCTCTGGAATCTCAGCAGAGTCTCCATCCTGCAAACAATCATTTTAAAAGTCTAATCTTTTCACATAACAGACTCATCAAAACCATAAACCTTAAACGTACCTATTACATCAAAGTCACCAGAAATTATAAAAAGAAATGAAAGAAGTTACAGATTCAATAGGAAGAAAAAGTCTACCCTTTGCGGTGGAGAATGGAGAGAGACGTCTTGTTCTTCTTCGCTAGCTTTATCTTCCTTACCATCCATCACTGAACTCAAAAGGAAACCCGAAAAGATTTAAAATCAGAATTTTAGTTTCTTCTTTTCTTTGTTCCGACCGATCAAACACTTTCAGATATATATGTCCGTCTTTCAGCTAAAAAAAAGATTATATTTGGTACGGCCCTTCAACATTATTTAAAATTTTAAGTAACTAAATTGACTATAAGGGTTAGCATTATTGACTTTGGTGTACTTTTCTATATTATCTATGTACTTCTTCCGTATTTTACAGATATACTAAAAATCGAAATGTAATTAGAGATATTCAGCATATTATAAAACACCCGAGCATCTTTTATGTTGAACAGTTCACAAGATTTAAAAAGCAATTGGTATTTCATGATTGAGGATCTTCTGTTTTTACGTATTAAGATGTATATAAATTTTTAATGCTTTAATAATAGTAGATTATAAACTTATGAAAAAAATAATTAGATTTATTAAATAAATATTGGCTTAATTCTCTGAAAATTAGTAATCACACAAAATGATACATTTATGATTAAAAATTAATGTATTTTAAAAATATTTGTGAAAACAATAAAAACTACTATATACTTATAAAACAGAGATAATATTCAGTGTGGTATATATACGTCATTTAATTCGTACCTACTATTCTCGGAAAATGAATAAATTTAGCAAATCGTGTTTCAGAAAAAAAAGAATAAATTTTGCAAATCGAATTTATTCACTAATGATATTTTGAAAGCTATTTACCAACATTATTTCTAAAAATAATTTAGTTACATACTAAATTGGTTAGGGCCTGATCATGGGATACCATTTCTGTTATTTTGTGGTATTAAAGTACCTTTTCCGCACATGATCTCCATCTATGATTCAATCTATAGTTACTTTATTATGAGTACATTTGTTTATTCTAATTTGGTCAACTGTTTATCTACATCAAATTATCATTAGTCGCTCGAGACAAGGAAGGGGAAAGGATGCAACGCAACATCCGACTAACTTGAAAGAAAATACATAGAATAATGCGAATATTCAACCAAATTATAGAAAAATCTTGAGTTCAAAATAATAAAATTATGTGGTTTAACTATTTTAATTTAATAAACAAATAATAAAGGAATTTACGTGCATCCCTTCTGTCATGATGCTGTGACAAAGAGGAATCGAGTGTACATGTGTTTTTTTCACATGCCCTTATGCGAAATGAATGTGGCGACTAGCTAACTTCCTTTTCATATAACCAATTATCGGAATCTATTAGATGACATACAAAGCTCCTACGTCCTCTAATACGTGTTTAAATTCTGGAGATGATTGAACATCACAACCTTTGCATGCGTTCTAACTGGTTCATCTACTTCCTCCAATATGTGTTTGGGCTAGACCTATAAAGCCTTATAAGTTGTAACTGCCCAATGGGCTGAACCTTTTTTGTCTTTTATTTAATTTGAAGGCCCTTTCTAAAAAAAACATACAAAACTTCTAGATAATTTGGAGATTATGAAAAAAATCAAATTAAATTAGAGCATGATTAATGGAAAAGTTTATAAGGTGATATTCTTAACGTAATTAAGAAACTATTTCTTAACTTTTAATTAAAAAAAATTAAAAATCGATTTTTAAATAAAATATTAAAAACTGATTCTTAATTTTTTTTAGTTAAAATTAAGAGATAGTTTCTTTAATTCCGCTAATAACCTCAGTCTAAAAATCTCTTAACTATGCTCTTACTCTTTTTTACAAAAAAGAAGAAGATAATAACCCAAGCGGCCAAGCAGAAACTTTTAAAAGGCAATTTAAGATGTAAAAATAATGAAGAGTTTCGGCTGCTGAGTGCTGACACAAAAGAATTGCTCAAGGGTACTACTACTCTACCAAATATCTCAATACAAAATGGATCCGAACCCTGTGTGGATGAGTAAAACCTAACTATGATCTGTCTCACCATAGTGATAATACTAGTTATGGTATGGAATGGATATTGTGGAACATTAATGGTACATTTTTAGACTGCGGTATATGGGTACATATGAAGAGAGAGCAACTTCTATCATTGAAATAGAGCATTTCTAACCTATTTTTATTCTCCATTCTTAGATAAAATTTATAGCAAGATATTAGTTAAATCCACTTTATTTTTGTTCTATAATAGAGTAAAAATTAGATTATTTCAAAATCAAAACCATATTGGATCTCCAATATTTTACGATTCGAATTAAGTAATTTATTTTTATTTATAACTTTATTTCTTACTCTGAAATAGACTGAGATTAGGTAAAACTCAACTATATATGTGTCACATGCATAGGAAACGAGACCTTAAAGTTCGCTTCAGTACTCTCTTAAGTCTAAACCTTCAGATACTAAGTTTGGCTGTTTTGGTATTTAAGGAAAAAGTGGTACGAAGAAGATGGCGTCTGATACAAGTGCAGCTTTTAACACACTTCCCTTATTCAGTACTTGAGCTGATGATCCATGTCATAGCACTGATACATGCAGTATCTTGGATAGGCAAGAAGTTCCTCTGATGGATCATGAAGTATACATAGAGGTATAAGATTAAACACCGACCATGTTCTTCCCTTTTCTCTGAATTTCATCAGTTGTAATCTTAACCTTCTGAACTCACTCACAGGTGGAGAGAGCAACATCAGATCTTAAGAACACCAGCTTTAGACTTAGAGATATTCTTCAAGGAGGTGATCTTTAACTAATCCAACACAATGAATAAATAATATAGGAATTGGTGCGGATGGATCTAAGTGTAACATGTGTTTTTTCACATGCCCTTATGCCAAATGAGTGTGGTAACTAGCTAACTTTTCAGACAAAAATGATTCTTTAGATAATAAACTCAGATTAGTATTTCATATAACCAATGATCAGAATCTATCAGATGACATGCAAATTTTCCCTTTCTATATACTTTGGAGGTTATGGAAAAATCCAAAATGAATTACTGTTTTGTAAGAAAAAAAAATAGGAAGATAATAACAGAAGCAGAAACTTTTTAAAAAGGCAAATAGAGGATGTGAAAGTAATGGAGAGTTTCAACAGCTGACACAGGAGGATAACTACTCAAGGTTACTACTCTACCAAATCTCTTAATACCAAAATGGATCCTACCCCTGTGTTGATGGTAATAATACTTCTGGCATGAACCATGATGGTAATACTACTAATTTAGGGCATCATTCTAATTCCTGTCAGTTTCTATTTGGTAAGCTCGACACAGAGGTAGAAGACTAAACACTAGCCATGTTCTTTCCTATTCTCTGAATTCATCAGTTGTAATCATTACCTTTCTGAGCTCGCTCACAGGTGGATAGAGCAACCTCAGATCTTAAAAACACCAATGTTAGACTTAGAAAATATCGTCAAGCAGGTGATCTTTGAGCTTCAGATTGTCTTTGTTTGCTGCTGTCTCTATGCCACAGTAGCTTCCGGCTGAGCAACTAGCTAAAAAAGAAACTGCATCTGCATGTACATTGTTGTATCTACTGACATTATAAGGATTGTGGATAGAGACAACTTGGAATTTTCTGTGTTATATAAATTAGCAATCACACACATTATTGTCAACACATATAAAACATGCATATATATAATTATATATGATCAATGGTCGAAGGAAGTTGTAACATTCGATCCATACTCAACCGTGTTTCAACTACTCTTGTTCAGCCGTTGCTCCTTGTCCAGTATTGTTCCCACTTCCGCTATTACCATGAACTTTTATCTCCAAAAGCCTCTCTACAGGCTGCCTACAAATCGGGCATCGATTTGTCTGGAACCTCAACACCTTAGCGCATCCGCTGCACATACACTGTCACACCACAAAAACATTTACACTCTTCACATCAGTACAGTCTCATTACACAACAGGAACTGAACATTCTTAGAAACATTAATCTTACCATGTGCCGACAAGGAAGAACAGTGGTGTCTCGTGGCTCAGACAAACAAATAACACACTCCTTCCCCGGATCATTAGCATCATCACCCTCATCATCATCCCCATCAACACTATTCCCAATCCCATAAATCTCCTGCAACTCATACCTAGTCTCATTAACCCATAGTATCTGCTTCACCACTCTTATCTTAACCTCCCCTTTATCCTTCTCATACACTGCCTGAGTAATCTGAGCATTCTTCGACCCCAAACTCTCTTCTTCACCTTCAGCTGCTGCTTCAGCCTTAACCGCCAAGGGATAAACATCAGCTTCCGCCCCCTTAAACAGCTCAGAATCTTCAAACACAGAGAAATCTATCCCCGTACCAGAAGCTTGCTTAAACTTCTGACCAAGTCCTACCTCAAAATCCATAGTGATTGGCGGTAGAATATCTTCCTTAGTCGCTGTGAGAACACACTCTTCAGACTCTTTAGCAAAGAAAATAACTGTAACCCTGTTTTTAACCAAAAAAAAAAGTTTCAGTTTTTTATTTTTTTTTTTCCAACTAAAACAACTCAAAAGATTGGTCACGTGGAAGAACTTAAAGAGTGTCACGTGATCAACTCAAAAAGATGTTTTTTCACCTTCCGGAGACAGTTGCATCAAACGTGAAGGAGACTAGGAACCGACCCGGGTTATCCGGGTCGGGTTCAAGCTTCAAAGACTCTTTTTTTAGATTCACGTCGTTACGAATCGTAACGGCTTTCTGATGCTCCACGCACGGAAGCTGTTGGGGGATCATTGGTCCGGGATAAGGATATCTCCCGCCGGCGGTCCAAGGATGGTGGTGATACGGAGGAGGAGGAGGAGGTGGTGGATAGTGGTGGTTGTGGTCGTAGGGGATGGTTCCCGGAGGAGGGTAGTAGCCAGGGTACTGGTGGTAATGCTGATTAGGGTTAGGGTTTGGGTACGGTGTAGCTGCGGCGAAGACGATTCGATTAGGTGGAGGTTCTGTTGCCGGAGGTGGTGGCGGTGGTGGTGGAGGAGGAGGAGGAGCGGAGGTTGGAAGAGAGTTGCTTCGCCGGCGACGGCGTCTACCTTCGCCGCCGGTGCTGCTGATGTTTCCCATGAAAAAGATTAGATTTTTATGAGACCCTTTGAGGGAGATTATGTTTTGGTGAGTGGATCGGAGATCAGGGGATTATTGGAGTGAGATGAAAGGAATTAAAATGCAAAAAGGAGAAAGCTTTTTATTTTATTTTGATGGATTAAAAGAGAGAGAGAGAGAGAGAGATAAGAGAGAATAATAATAATTTGGGGGAGAAAGTGGGTAAAAAATGAGATGATGGTGAATGGGGTCGGTTTGGCCAAGAAACTCCACTCATCAATGAAACACCTTTCTATGGTGTTTTGTGTTACCAAGAAGAGAGTTTGTCTATTAAATTTTGTTTCTAATAATAATAAATGTTTATTATAGGTTTAAGAGTAGGTGTTAATTAGAAAACATTTACTACTACTAATTATATAATTGTTGGATCATTCTTTTCTTGCGTGACATAAGATTAGTGTTAGATTCTTTAGTTGCATTACCATTTTACGTATGAATTAGGATTAATCTGTTCATTTAAGAAAAAATGAATAATTTGGAGGAGTTTTTTTTCTTTCAAATGTAAAATTTGGATCTCACAACTTTTTTCGTTTATTATTTTTTGATATATTTTTTAACATACTACCCTTATTGCATATTTATCGTACGAATGAGGAAGTCATGATTGCATTGATGCATGATTGAGTTCTCTGTGCTTTCTCTATCAGATCTAGTAGACATTGTCAACTGTCACCTTCTATATTCATATCGCCAAGTTTATAGCAATTAATTAGTTTTGTTCTTAACAAAGTATACTAATGTTTAGTTTATTAGAAAGTTATAATAATACTATTACTTTGTGCCAAGATAATTTTCTTAAAAAGTCCGAAAGATGAACAAATGTTTTGGAACTCATTTCATATTTGTTCTCTTGTCTTTCAATAATGGTGTATACTTGCTTTAACAATAAAGGAAGGGGAAAAAATGGGTATATTTTGTATTCGCCAAAAAAACTATACAAACCTTTAAGAAAAAAATAAGAGGTCTTAAAATGTTTAATTTCTAAAACCATTAGCTAAAATTAGAATATGAACTGAAAGTTAAGATCACCCGTTTAGCTATAAACATCGCACGAAAGACATATAAAATAAAAACATATCTTAATTAAACACAGATAATGTAGGTGCGGACGAACAAATTTAACTATATATGGAATCGTCGATTATTACGTGAACTTGCATATTGACAAATGTTAGTTTTAATATATAAGATTCTTCGAAATTTTAATCCTGATCATTTACAGATATTATATATATATATATATCAGTTTAAAAGACTTCCACATAAATGTAGTGCGATTCGAAATCAAAAATAAAGAAAGTGATATAGAATCGCATACCTACCCACTCGCACACACTTTCACTAAGCAATTCCCTAATATAAATATACAGCCATATAGTACATGTTGTTTAACTATATATCAAATAAAGAGTGGGTACTGAGAGATGCAACAGCCAACAAGTTGTGCATGTAGCCATTTTCTAACAACTTGTGAATGTAAATATATTTTATCGCACTACTATAAGTCTATAACTAACCCTATGATTTTGTTATAAATATATAAATAGAGTTTTAATGGTCAAGTGGTAATGCAAGAGGATTAGTTCTCATGTACTACGTATTCAAACATTTTTAATACTTAGTGTTATTATTTAAATCAAACATATATAAGGAAAATTCCAAACTCAAAAATAAAAGTGTAAAGAAGATTATAAGCATAACTTCCTAGGTTTTTTAAGGAAATTGAATGTGAGGATTTTCTGAAAATGCATGCTGTCTTTGAACATAACTTGAAGAATGCATGGCATCGTCTTGGAACACCAAGGTAGTGTTACTAGTGTCACTATGTCGAATATATCTTAGGTCTTTTTTTTGTTCAAACAAACATCGCATTACTTAGGAGGAGTTTACTCTCCATGAATGAAGTTCAATACAAATATAGCTAATTAAGGCTGATTTTGTCACAAAGATTTTGTCACAAAATCAACTTCAGCGTTAAAGTTCCTAGATATGAAATGGAAAGAAACTACATCACAGAACGAAACAAAAGGTTAAATATCAAACATGATATCAAACAATTTAGGTTGGGACCCTCCTTTTCTCAATAGCTTGATCAGAGATTAGAAATCAGATAGAACCTCTAGAGATCGGACGTTTGAATTCACGGCATTGAGATATTGCACGATGAACAGTCATAGCTTCTGCCATTAAAGCTGATGAGACATGACTGTGAGCTCCAGAAACGTTTGGAAGTTTCAAAGCATTTTCGCCGGTGAATAAATTCCACCTATACCACAAGCACCTGAAATAGAGTTCCAAGCCGCATAAATCAGAAAAAACACACAAGAGTTCATGTGAACACTGATTTAAGAAGTTGTGGCCTCATTTCACAAATTGTGTATGAATATTTGATTATACAAATGAAATTCAGAAATAAAAGAATAGAAAACACTCGCACCAAAAAAAACAAAGAAAAAACTACAAGAGCAGTAACCATTTCTCGCGAACTGATCCAACAAGTACATAAAAGTTCCAATATGGTTGGTCGTTGACTCGGATCCTCCCGTTACACACAACTCCACCACGTCAGCAAGTTTTAACAACGGCTCCACATTTCTCAGCAACGCCATATACTAATACTCATCCAAAATTGGTCGTTGACTCGGATCCCCCCTGTACCTTTCGCTGTTTGCAACGCGATCTAACCCTTAAGCTCCAACTCAACCCGCCGTGTAGATGATCGTGAAGCGTAGCGTGAGGCACGTACTCGTAAACAAGAAGCCTCTCTCCATATCGGTCGTAACCGATGAGATCCAAAAAAGTATTATTTCTTTAAAACGTGTGTAATAGTATTGTATATAGTCATGCATATGACTTAAGATGTGCCATTGTTTGATGAAAAGAAAAATTGAACTACTTCAGATCTTTTTTTCCATCTTCTCCATGATCTTTTAACAAACCAAATCCCCATGGCTTTGCTATATATTCCATTATCATGTCCTTGAAGGGAGTCTATGCGATTCGGAACCAACTTATCAATGTATTTTACATGATGGGTTGGAGCCTGTCGCACTGCTCACCATGTCTCCTACCATTCATTTCTCTCCAAACTGAATAAAGTACCGCTTGAAAGGTATATTGAATGAGATCCAGCATCAATGAAGATGGCGCAAACTTGATAGACGGATAGATATACATGCTTGGAGGATGCAGGAATGATGACGCAGATTCCTCAAATTGGGCAGAAGTGTTTGATACAAAGAACCAAACCTGGGATTTCTTGTTTGTACCTACACCGAAGATGCTCCTAAGTATCCAACAAAGCATGTTGGATACACAAAAAAGAGTTTTACGTGGTGGACAAGGATGGCCAGAGCTTCTTATTAGGATATCTCTAGCTTCGTGGAAAACAAAGAAACAAGACACTGTTGCTTTGTCGTCTACTGAAGTGGAATATAGAGCTATGACTGAACTTGTTCGTGAATTCAAATGGATCAAAGGTCTTCTCTGCGACTTTGGCATACGACACACTCGACCTATAACACAACGTGTGACAATCAGTCAGCGATCTACTTAACCAAAAATCCAGTATTCACGAAAGAACGAAGCATATCGAAGCCAAATGCCATTTCATTCGAGATCATATCATTGATGGTACAATAGCAACAAAACATGTTGTCTCCAAAGACCAATTGGCAGATATACTTACTAAAGCTCAAGGAAGAAAGGAGTTTGATATTTTCCTTTCCAAGTTGGGCATTCGAAACCTATATGCTCCAGCTTGAGGGAGGTATTAGGATATCTCTCAATCATCCTTATCTATTAGCTTATTTTCTTATTTCGATTGTATTAGCTTGTCCTTGTGTTGTTAGGACTAGGTTCTTATGACTTGTATATATAGAGACCTTGAGATCATGAATGAATAATACAAAACTTTATATCGATTACATATCTTCTCACTTCACCTTCTCATCAAGTAATTAATAAAAATATATCATCTGTTACCAATGGGATAACAGATTCTAAGCCATGACACAGAAGTAATTGGTGTCTGATTGGGGGTTGTTGTTCTGTCGCGGTAGCCGCGGGAAAATAATGTGGTGTTTGCCTTATGAGTTAGATTGGAAGGAGGTGAAGGGTTTAGAAGAGCTGCTGCAGCCCTCTTCCCATAATAATCATATTTAGCTAATAAACCGTCAAATATATGAGAAATTACAAAATTAAAAGCTTTGTTGACTATAAATTAAACCCTTTATATTTCATATTATACAAATATTTTAGTAATAAACATATAACATAATTGCATTATTATTATCAGTGATTCTTAATTCAGTATAATTTTATCAGGAAATCATTTTGCATTTTAAGAAAATTAAAAGCTTTGTTGTATACTGTGTACTTAAACAAATAGTAAACCATTAATTGGTTTTAGCTAATCCTATCAACAAATGGTTTAAGGTTTGTTTCGGTTTAATTATATATATATATATATTAGAGATATATACTATGTTTGTCTTGTGTTTAGAAGAGATATTTATTGAAATCTTGATTTTTTTTTATTTCTTGATTTTTTTCAAAGTCAAATATGTATTAAAGATATATACTATGTTTGTCTTGTGTAGAAATGTTCTGAGGTGATTATATGTGTGTGTGGTTCACCTCAGAACATTTCTACACAAGACAAACATAGTATATATCTTTAATACATATTTGACTTTGAAAAAAAAATCAAGAATTACCTTTTTAGCATAAATTAGTACCGAATCTAATAGGAAATATATCAACATTTTCTCTTTAATTCCATTTTATAAAATTATATATTTTTTTAATTAGCTTTGGACTACCTTTTCCATATAAATTCTCACTATCATTGTGAATTAACAAAAAAAAACAGCATATATTGTTACGGAAGCAAATCTACTTCTCCTTTGTAAAGATCAAAATGAATTATGATGGTGATGGAAACCCAGACAGCGAGCATAATACTCCAGTAAATGCCAGGTCAACAGGGAAGAGGATTTTTCGGCGTCACAGTCCTCAACAAATTGAGATACTAGAAAAGTAAATCTACTTATCAATCTTTCTGAGTTTTGAAATTTTATTGAATTTTTAATCACTGATTTTTTTTTAATATTTTTATGAATGAAGTTATTTCAAAGATTATCCTCATCCAGACGAATCACAGAGACAAGAACTATCCAAAGAGTTGAACCTCGAGATAGAGCAAGTCAAATGTTGGTTTCAGAACAAAAGAACTCAAAGCAAAGTAATCATCTTAGCATTCTTTTATATTGGATTTTAAACCAACTTTTATTTTGTTAATATATTTTTCATTTGCTATAGCTTCAAGATGAGAGAAATTCAAGAATGTTGCTTAGCACAGAAAACAAAAATCTCCAATTTGAGAATACTGTGATGTCAGAGGTTTTAAAAATTGTGACTTGTCCACCTTGTGGCGGTCCTCCTTTCGGCGGAGATGGACGCAATCTCCAAAAGCTGCAATCTGACAACGCTCGCCTCAGAAGGGAGGTAATCATTTGGTTTCATTTATCTAATACCAACACTAATATCAATATTAGAATTGTGTGATTTTTTTTTTTGGTCCATCATCTTATATTTCATGTAGATTTATGAAACAAAATGATAATATAACTTAAAAACGAGATATAATGTTGCATCTGGTTACACTTATCAGATCAATAGTGAATTATTGGTTATATATATGATGTATATATTTTATATGTACTAACGATTGTTCAGTACATAATGATTTTGTGAACTCTGCTTATTAGCGGGGAAATTGTTTTCATAATAAAACAAAATAAACCATTGTAAGAGTAAAAACAATGGAGTTATACATCATGAAATTAAATTGCAATTTTTACTGATAATCCATACTAATTAATACACATGTTTTTAATAAATTTTAGCGTGACAGATTGGCCGACATCGTAGCTAAGAACGAGTATCAACAAACCATGATGGACCCAATCACATCTGTTCAAAGACAACATACCTTTGAAACTCCCACCTCATACGGATTCAATCCGAATATTCCCTTTGAGCGACCTAGCTCATCGGAATCTCAAACCCTCCAACCACAACTACTATCCCAAATGGATATAATGCAGCTGTCTGAAACTGCGACAAGTGCGGTTGAAGAGCTTAAGCGGATATTTTTTTCTGAAGAAGCTCTTTGGGTTATGTCGTCTGTCTATGGATCATGTGTGATCAATCAAGAGAGCTATGAGAAGTTCTCGCACTCCCTCAAAAATTTCAGGAAATTGAGTGCTCGTGTCGAGTCTTCTAAAGATGTCAAGGTGGTTCCTATAGAGGCAACAAGCTTGGTTAATATGTTCTTAGATACGGTATGTATTCACATAGTTTAAATACGTTTTGGTAAAAGAACTTACACTCCTTAGATACGGTATGTATTCAATTATGCACCAAAAAGGAATCTTAGGATTATAGTAGTTAGACTAAAACTAACTGCTGTATTTGCATTTGATATCTGTTTTAATGACTTTTCCAACTTTATATTTTATATTTGAAGACAAATGTGACATGCACTTTTTTTAATGTAGGAGAAATGGAAAAAGCTTTTTCCAACGATCGTGAACAAGGCCACGACGATTTATACAGCTGGATCCGAGCTTCCGATAAAAGAAAACTGCAATGTCTTGCAAGTGGTAAGAAGTATTTTTAATTGTGGAACTATATATAAAACGTTACCAATCTAATTAGTTATGTACCATTGCATTCAAATTTAGATAGTTCAATTCAAGTTTAGCTTCGAGATTGACTGTTCTACTCTAAAATCTGATTATTTCTTAATATATAAATGCGATGTATTTTTGAATGTTGATAGATAAGGGAGCAACTACACATTTTGTCGTCATTTGTGCCACCAAGGGAGTTTTTGATCGTTAGAAGCTGCCAACAGATCGATAAAGGGCACTGGATTGTTGCTGATGTGTCACTCAAAACCGTTAACTCGGACCAGGGCAGTCCGTCTTGTTATAAACGTCCTTCTGGTGTTCTCATCCAAGCCTTGCCCAATGATCACTCCAAGGTATCTCCATTGCCTCGATCAATCTTAACATGTCTACTAATCCGTATAAACGTTTATATAAAATATTTCAGGTAACGTGGATAGAGCATGTGGAAGTGGACCATAAACCCGAAACACATCGGATATATCGAAATCTTGTAAGTGGCGGTTGGGGCTATGGAGCTAAGCGTTGGATCAAAACCCTCGAGAGAATGTGTGAGAGAAGGGTTCTCTCCTCCGTCCTAACCATGCCGGCTACTGACTGGGGTGAAAGTATGTTTCTTAACTTTACTTATCAAATATATATATATATTTCTCATAATGAATTTGTGATATAGTGCAAAAAGTCTCACTTATATCAAAGAAATCTGACTTAACATATAACTAGATCATAACCCGCATGACTTCAGGTTTAATAGTATAGATAGATGTCGGATCATTTTTATTTTAATTTGTGATAGTGGAAAAAGTCTCTTTGATGTTGATGATAATATTTTGGCAGTTATACCGACAGTGGAAGTAAGGAAGAGTGTGATGAAATTAGGGGAAAGAATGTTGCAGAATTTCAACGAAATATTGATCATGCCCGGGAAAGTTGAGTTTCCGCAGCAATCGAAATGTGGAGTCAGAATCTCGATCCGGATGAACATGGAACCCGGTCAACCAACCGGTTCAGTTGCCAGTGCTGCATCTTGTCTCTCAATCCCTCTCACTCCTTTGCAAGTCTTCAACCGCCTGAGAAGCAACGTCATTCGTCACCAGGTTTCTTTATTTCCTTTACATGCATGCACTATTATGGACCAATGGTCTGAAACATCTAATGTATAATATAATCCCAAAAATAAACATAGATACTGAAGGTATTAATAAATTCTGATTTGAATATTTCAAAATCAGACTCTTGAAAAAGCAAATCAAAAATTTTACTTCGCATCTAATAAATTTCTCATGATTTTGAAATACTCCTAATAAAATATAAATAAATTTATATACATACATTTAAGAACATCAACTTGAGAACCCCTAAGGTTTGCCTAGTTCGCATGTTTTCCTCTCTATATATCGGCATGTTTGAGTCGCATATCTTAAAGACAAACCATGTGTTGCATGCAAACAGTGGGACGCTCTTTGTTATGGAAACGAAATCACTGAGATCGCTCGCATTTTCACCGGAACAAGTGAAACAAACTACATCAGCGTACTCCAGGTACATACAATTTTTGAACTGTCTGCTTTGGTTGTTATACATAACTCATCTAATAATATTTTTATTTATATCCAATGTTAGCCTACACTACCAGGGGATGGTGGCAAAGCTATTGTACAAGAACCAAAAAACGAGATGATAATGCTGCAAGAGTGTTACATGGACGCATTAGGAGGTATGATAGTGTACACTCCTCTTGACATGGCTACAATGAGCATCGCTGCCTCTGGTGAAGTTGATCCTTCGAAGATTCCAATCCTACCTTCTGGCTTCACCATCTCAAGGAACAGCCGGGGACCCATGGCGGGTGAGGACGGTGGAACTTTACTCACGTTGACTTTTCAGATCCTTCTCTCTGCTGACAACAGTGGGAGCATAAATGTGAGTGAGAATTCAGTGGACTTAGTGAGTAGTTTGATCAGCAGAACTGCTCAAAACATCAAGGCCTTGTTCAATTTGCCTCCTGAGTGAGAGAATACTCTCTTGAGAATTCTCATTTGTTCTTTTTCCTTTGGTTTCTGAGAGAATATACTCTTTTGTTATTTTGGTTTTGTTGGAGATGTTTTTATTTATGGTGGATTTTGGATGATTTATTGCTATTTCAAGGACATGATTTTTATGGGTTATTTTTATGTTTTATTTTTTTAACCTTTTGGTTGGTTATAATAATTTTCCCCATAGTTTGAAGGGATATATGTTGATAATATGTATTGACTTTTTACAAAAAAAAAAAACGTTTACATTGAGAATTTTTTTTTTTTTTGTGCTGTTGACTCAAATTTTTCAATTAAAATACCAATAATAAAATATAAGAAAATACTGATCATATTTTTTTTGTAAAATTCTCTATTATGTTCTAAAACACAAACTCTCTCTAGAAACCCTAGCCGCCAGGGGTTTCCTTCCTTGGTCTTCTCCTCCTCCATTCCGGTCATGTTGCCAGAACCTGACCCTCTAGCACCTCCAGATCCACCCTCATCTCTCGTTAGGGTTAGTTATAACACTCACACCAAAGAACCCTACATGATCTCTAAACCCTATAAATATAGAAAAAATGTTAATGACTTAATGGTGTAGTGGTAATTTTATATATTTATAACAAAATCATAGGGTTTGTTATAATACTCACACCAAAAAAAAACCTACAATAGCAGTCCGTCTCTCGCGAACTGATCCAACAAGTTACAAGAACACAACGTTCCAACATGGTTGGTCGTTGACTCAGATCCTCCCAGTACACACAACTCAGCCACGTCATCAAGTTTTAACAACAGCTCCACATTTCTCGGCAACGCCCTATACTCATCCAAAATTGTTCGTTGACTCGGATCCTCCCGTACCTTTGGCTGTTTGTAATGCGATTATAACCCTTAAGCGTAGCATGAGGCATGTACTCGTTGTAAACAGGAAGCCTCTCTACCATCTCGGTCGAGTAACCGATGAGATCCAAAAAAAAGTATTGTATTTCCTTTTTGCTATTTCCTTAAAATATGTGTAGATATAGTACTATACTAGGATAAGACCTGCGCAAGGCGCAGGGTGAATATATGTAATTAAAATATAAAATTTTAATATTCACAAATTTAAAATTTACATATGATTGTTTTTGTATGTATTTGAAATTTTAGAATTTTGGAATTTTTATATAATTATATATACGTATGATCAAAAACAACTTTAATTAGAAATGTAAATCAAATCTTAGAATTTAATGGATCTGATTTCATATATCTTTTTACTTTTCAGTGTTCGAGTGATAGAAAATAAATGGAGTGTCACTGGGCTTGATTGGTAGAGTATAGAAAGTTCCCTAATGTTTTTAAAGAAGCAATTGGTAAAATATTTGCAATTAAAATATATAAAGTTTCTAAACTAATTTAATATAATTTATTTATTTGTCTAATATTAGAAATTATATTTTTTAAAAATTATATTTTTTAAAAATAATTTTCTAAAAAATTATGTTAAATTTAAAATTATTTTTAAAAGTAATATTTTAAGTTTTTTGAATAAAAATAAACAATTTAAAATTAATTATTGC